CTCTTCCGATCTCCAGTTGTGGGAAAGTTTAGGATGAGTGTGTGGCGTGAACACTCCGGAAACATTGCTGAAACAGGACACATCCTCGGGTTTCCGAGTAGAGAATTAATATAAGATCACACGAAACACAAATTCCACTCCCGCTTTCGCCACCGACTCCACAGCTATGACTCCACAGCGACTACCTTGATTCCGCTGAGGAAAAACTATATCTGAAGGCCCATGGAGGTGATGATTTCATCAGATAATTCTGAAGGTCAATGGAGCACCTCGGACAACAGCAGTCATTACCCGGTGCATTAATTAATGCATCTCTGTCATCAGGTTAATCCATACTTAGCAGAACATTGGTGACCTTGCACACACTCTTCCTCTATCTTTGTTTTGTCGAAAAGGCACTTGCTGATGTGGAAGGCGACTTAGAGCATGAAGCTTAATAAGATACTCGCTGAATACTGGTAAGGTAGCCGAAGAGTCACGACATGAGAACGCCAGACTTAGAAAGTCCTAAGAAGGCAGCCACAAAATCCTTTGTTAAAGTGCGTTTGGCACCCAGGTGGGAAACCCCTGGGTGACAAACCCCTAAAGTTGCAGGGTCTATGCAGACTTGGAATACAGTTCATCTCAAGGAACGCTCTTGCGCTTCAGGTGACGAATTCTCCCATACAGAACTAACCGGAAATATACGGAGTGAAGAAAGCACGTTAACCACTTCACTAGCGGTGTGTAAAATTGTGCCGCACACCAGAATCCGTCAGAGAAACACTAAAACGGGGACACAGACTGATGCAGATCTTCGGAAGGAAGGTGATAAGTGACTAATTCAAGTCAGCCAGAAGTGAATGCCGACCACTTGGTCAGGACTGATAAACTACAAAACTTAAGGACGCCTAGACTACTGAAATCTTGCTTCTCTCGGATAAAAAGGATATATTTATTACGTCCAGGTTTCCCGCCGAAAGATCGGCAGGAACGACGAATTTTATTGTGCTCTTCAGAGGTCTCAGATCTCACGAAGTAAGGAACGCAACATATTTGGATGTTTAAATTGTGCGGAAAAAACTGGTAAGGTGTCCATAATTTCTGCGGAGGCAAACAGGATTATCATACATGCGAATAATCTCAGCTTTTCTGGCGATAGGGCTTAATTTGAAACCCAGCCTTTGAGACCGACCGAGATAGCATCAGCTTTTCTGAAGCCCGGCTTCGGGAGATGCCGTTTTCATCATACATGGATACACGTTTCTGCAGTGTGGTCGACACGAAGAAGGTCAAACCGGGTCCAACCTGAGTAACCGTTTACTGGCAATCTACGCAAGAGATTTTCTGTCTGGATTACTATTTCACTGCGTTAATCTTCAGATCGGAACTATTCCGAACGCTGAATATTCAGTCGCAGTCCAGGAGAAATATCAGGGACTGCAGACCTTTGAATGTTCTCAAAATATCCACGACCGCTTATTGTAGGTGAATTTAACGTAGTGACTTCGAGGAGTAATTATTTTTGGCGCATAAAATCCCATTATAGAAGCGGCTGAAGGCATACACAGTTGTGATTTCTCACGTACGGCGCGATGCCAGTGACATTCTTGCGCTAGCCTCTTCATTGAATTATCTGCTGATTTGCTTGATCATTCATATGGCAGATCATCTAGGTACTACTGTCCCTCTAGGACGTTTTGTTCATTTTGTGTAGTTGGACACCCGCAAGAGACCGTATCATTATACCTAATTTTTAACGTGGTTTCCGGGTCCGTTAGGTCGGCCGACGTCAGGAACCGATGAGAACTAAAAATAATCTCACAAATTTAGTTGTTAAGGCATAAATTTGGAACAACAAAACACACTGCCAGACTTTTACCTGTTCAGAAATGACCAGCTTTGAGCATTCACAACCTGATGTGATTGGACAAGGACCCACAACATCTCAATGCACGAACACTAACGTAGCTCGTTTACTGGTTGTTCGAGGATTATACCTGTTATCTGCGGTGCGAACCTCAACAAGCTTACCGCAAATGCATCATGAAAAACGAGAAACAAGACTAAAGCAATTTAATATCGCACGCGTCCTATTACCAAACTTAGACAACAGCCGCATTAGTCATCAACTCTGTGGTTTAGACAAGCTTTTAGCACTCACTATTATGAATGAAACGTTTTAGATCGGGTCATGTGTTTACATTTTCAGCATTTACACTGTTTCTTGGGTAATGTCCCCAGGAATACTGAAGTCATTCAATCAGCAATTTATTCCAAAAAGAAGGGCATAAATCTTTCTTGAGCTTCTAAGCCACCTAACCATATGCTAAAATCACACAAGGTTTGTCGCACTACACTGACAGGGGCCAGTATGAGAAACACCATTTTAAAGCACTTGACACCGAACAAATTGCTTCTTTAGTACCACATGCAGTCGCTGTTGCTCAAAATTTAAGCCTACCAGTGCGCAGTTTAAAGCACTTGACACCGAACAAATTACTTCTTTAGTACCAGTCGCTATTGCTCAAAATTTAAGCCTACCAGTGCGCAACAAACACTCGAACCTTGCGATCCATGGAAGTTTAACAATGACAGTGGATTGACTAGGACCACAGCGGTGGGTGAGATGACGGCTACTCTCCCCTACTTCTTTAAGCTAAGAGGGCTACCCTTGAATTTTATAAGCCAGAAGGTGAACGAAGTGCATGGAAAACCATGGTAAGTATATTGCCAAATCTGATGTACCTAATACTGAACTTGTTGTTGGAATCCAACTTCACAATTCATTTTACCAGCCTTAGAAAGATCTGAATGGGGGTGTTCTAAGAGAGCATTGATTTTTCGCATCTTAATTGGCTTATCTTAGTAGAATTAACAACTCCACACTCCCTACGGCCAACCACACAGATCAGACTGATAAGAAAACGGCTCCAGAGTATTGTTTTGTCATCAACATAAAACCATGACTTGACAAAAAGGATCTCCTGTCATTCCCATTGACTTTTTCAGGAGTCTAGGCAGGTTTGGAGTAGGATGGTTTAGTCCGCTGGTTCTAGAGGAGCGGATGGATTTTATTCTGACAAGGTTGGTGAAAAAAGTTCAGCTGTAGCACCCCGTTTGGTACTAACTGCCATGCTACCAGAAGGAAGAACGAGGGCTCGGTCGGAGCCAGGTTGCCCAAGCCTAGACAGAAGCTGAGAGGGAAAAGTCGGAGTTGAACCACGGACCAGCCCGTCAGTCAGCTCTAGACACTGAGCCACCTTTCTCTGACAAGGTATTTAACGTTTGATTGCTTTACTACTCAGGCATGAGGACAAGGTCATTCATATCTATCTATATATATATATATATATATCTTGAGAGTTGGCAGAAAACTGTTCCTGCTTTTGCCGAAGGGGAACTGCCTCATACATCCTTATCTAAATAACACTGCATCCATCCTCACTAACTGCTCATCACTACTCAACATCTTCAGTAAGCTGAATTTGACCATGTCGGTCAACTTTGCTTTTGTCTCATCTGGCGCTTTGTTTCTGACTCGTGTCATTACAGTGTAGCTTTTTATTGACAATTTAATGATTAAAATTGTTTATCAGTGTAACAGCGCTCGCGCTATCCTAAAATGTCATTAGTTTGGCTGATAGGAGCCTTGATCGTCTTTTTTGCGGGAAACGACACCTCATTCGCCCTGATAGTGCAAGATAAATGCGTTTTATCTTCTTTTTAGCATACTAGCGGAATGTTACGAACAATTAATAGCAACAGGTTATGAAAGCAGCCGGATGCACACAGTTTGCGCTTAATACGTGTTTTATTGCAGCTAAGCACGAGTTTCACGTATCCCTACCACACAGGCTTTCAGATTAAAAACTCATATGGCGCCTTTATGTCAATGATATGGATAATTTATAAAGGTACAGCTCTGATGCGGTGTGATACGATATGCTCCGTATACCATATTCCGTCTTCTAAAACGAGCAATTTTCTTTATGCCCTCTTCATAATGGTGCAAACTGCTAATTGGACGGCGTGTGGCTTTGCAGAAGGATGTGAAAGAAGTTATCGAGACTTCTTGTCTTGTGGTGCAGTCCGAACTCCAGGATAGAGTTTTTGTGACTTCTTAGCACTTGCCAGGAAACCCTACAGACAACGGCAAGTAATCTATATCAGCGGTGTTCTTACTTGCAATTCATTTTTGGATAGTCATTGAGCGTTTGGAGGTGTAGACTGCTTAGGATTCATGAGTTAGACTAGCGCCATGACCACTCTACCTTCCATCGTTTTTTCAATATGAAGCAATAAATGTAACTGAACAAACTCTGGTTGCAAAACAGTTTAATTACAATGTCAATAATAGTGTTGCACTTCTGATGGCAAGAATGATAACTCCCACTTCATTGCCTTGTCAGTAGTCTATGATAAATAATTTTGAGGACACCGTGAAAAGTAGTGGACTAAACAGTGACCGGCGATTTGCAAATCTGTGGAATAGTGTCATATTTATGTTCAGGCCAACTTGAAACAGAGTTGCATATTTGGCTATGAGAGCACAATTAACCGGCGACTAACACACAGTGCAGCCGTCAAATAGGCTAAAGAGAACAACCATATCAATTTTTTCTCTATGTTTGTAGCTATAAACCATTTACAGGTCGCCCCAGGTGCTACTTTCGTTTCCTATTGTTTTGGCGGACTTTCTCCATGTTTGGCAGTTTTGCATTTTAGGCGTAAAATCGCTGATCAAATAAGGAATCAAAAAATCCACGCTTTTTATTCAGTATGATCAAGTTTTGATTTGCGTAACCTTCAAAGGCGAGAAAAAGCCCATATTCAACAGCCTTCTTGGTGGGTTTACTGCTGTGAATGGCGAAGAACAAGAACAAGATAATGACTCACAATAAAGCATAATACTTTCTTCATGGGTGTAAAACAAGGCTTATATATATTCTAATTATTTGATGGTTTTTGAGTTAAGTAAATTCTTACGCTCTTAATAGGGTTAGTTCCTTATCTGTATCGCATGTGTAAAAGGCTAGTGAAATGGTAGTTGTGGTACAAGTTCTTTTCACTTGGTAACCGTGAGTAAGACTTTCCAGTAATTTGGAACCTTTTTTTGGAGGATGTGAAATGATCGCTTGTTACGCCAAAATAGGTTTGCGATGCGAAATGATCCCATAAGCACTGTTATGAATCGCATGAGCATTTTTAGTTTCCCTGTTAAGTGTTTGTGACAAGTAAGCGAAATATCATCCTAATGCTAGACACCATCATCACTGCACAAATATCTAAGTCAGCCCCAGGGCAATTCATTGGCAATATACTTTAATTTATGATGTGGTACAGTAGTCCTTGGCGTGATTTAAACCTTGTCCCTCTTTTAATCAATTAATCAGTCAATTTGTCAGCTATAAACAGTGTGTACTTTAGGCACATTGCTTTCAGTTGCCACAGTTTTAACCACCGGAAAGTGGAACGTGCAGTACATTCTGACCGATCATCCTTACTTATAAGGTGATCTAACCTGAAATGAACTAGTTCAAACAAGTGAACTACCCGTAATTGTTAAACATTAATTGCTCGAGTTGTGGATGCTTCTCTGGCTCTTTTCTGAAATCTGTAAGAATAATGACCTATTTTGCACCTCAGTGCAAACAAAAGCAGTGCCAGTGCAAGAGTAGAGGTTCATATCAAAACACGAAGTCATGGATTAGTCATTGGAAACTCGATCTCTATTAAAAACGGATAGATACAAAGGAATAAAAAAGCAGAGGAGTTGAGGTGACAGTAGGAACCCAGCGTTTTGCGCAACTGACCATAGTCGTGATCAAACTTTACTTCCAATAGGCTTCTGGAGGCACACAAAGTTTGTCGCCGCTTCTTGAACTTGGTAGGAGTCAAACGAATCGTCTCAAGCTTTTCTCTATTATTTGTAGTGGACTGCCATCATCTTGACAAAAGCTAAACTTATTTTAGTGGGGATTAAGTAGTAAATTACGTTCCTCAAGGGAAATATAGAATTTTTACAGTCGCTGATATTGAATAGTATAACGGTATTTCATCAGAACTAAAGGCCGAGTCTCCGACTGTTCGTATCATGGATGGACCAGACTGACAAATCAAGAATAGAACGATGGAGAGCAAGAGATGCTTTACTTTGTAGGTAAAACTGACATAATGACATCGTGGCATGGGGCAAACAGAAGACCACTTAAACCCTTTCCTTAGTGCAAATCTGTCCTGAAGAAGATAATATGTGCATGCCTTTCATTTCCTTTCATTTGGTAGCTTGCTGTAGCGTTGTTGGTACTGTTCTGCGCTGTCGCAGATTCCGAATCCCTGAGAATGGACCACAACTTTATTTGTTTTCACCAAACGTTTGAGTGAAAAACAATGTCCATGCTGCATGACTTCATTTATAATAGAATAGCGACTAAATTAACCAGAAACACGCAGTTTCCGTCCTTTCGATGTGAAGACAAACCATATCGAGTTTCTGTTTTTTTATCGAAAATTCACTCACTCTTTCCAGTTAGTATTACAAGGCATAAATGCTTTGCAAGCTGGACGAAAAGCTGCGGGAAACGTTATCCTGGTTCGAAAAACAAATGCGTTAATTTTTAAGCTATTATTTTAAGGTAGGTACTCAAGGTTGAATCTCAATACACACCCATGGCAAGTGTCAAAACATAAGAAAATGCAATACGTTATGACTGCAATATTTGAAAAAGCGTGTACAAGACAACTTAGGAGATTTCAAGATTCTACTCAGATTTCTTCTACTGAACCACCTCGTTCGGCAGTGTCATTAAGGCCGGTCTAGCTGTTTATGATTTTTAGCTTTTCCATTTAGTCATGACAGGCTGTAACTCTCTGATCCTGCACAACAGTCAGCCTTACAACAATCAATGGCAATGGGTACGCAGTTGGAAACCGTTATTTAGTACGTCGTTTTTCTGTGCTAATGTTGAGACGTTTCGTTGCTGAGTTGCAAAAGTGGTCTGTGTTCTGGTTGGGACACATCAAATGGACATACCCGGATTTGATCTCATGATGTTCAGGTTCGATGTTCACACTCCTAGTGATGGGATTGATTATGAACATCGGGCCATAGCGACTCCAGCTGGGGCTCACTCAGAACCATTTATATGTATGGTAATTGACTGGTGCCTTCCGCTTGATAATTGTCACCTGTGAAAGTCTCCAGCTCTTGGCTTTGCAATTTGTGGACTCTCCTTTAGGACCATCTACCAAGAACGGCCAACTTCACTCACTCACTTATTTGGCCTCTCGTTCAATTAGACAGTTTTCATTTTTTTCGAGCGTCAGACGGCGTTTTCAAAATGACGGAGTTTGCCATAGCTTCCAGAGTTTTGGACCATGTAATTGCAACGGAGTCTGCAACGCTTATTCTTCGCTCATTTAACTAGTGGATAAATTATCCAAGTAAGACGTAATAAAACTACACCAAAATCCGAGTATTTGGCGAAAGAAACCATCGTTCAAGAGGAACCAAATTTGTCATCTTACAAAGCAGAAAATTGAGTAAGGAAAACCCGCCGGCGCATTTGAAACCTACTCTAATGCATTCCAAGTTAAAAGTTCCAGCGATAACTGGGAAGTTCACTGATGGCCAATATATATCCAGTATAAGATCGGGATGCCTAAAGTCTCTCATATTAAACTGAGGGAAAGAACAAGCATTTCATTCGATTGGGGAACTGCACCTGGCTTTCCGCGTCGCAAAAAATGCTATAGTTAAGATTTGTCGCTATTAGAATGACATAGAGCTTCGTTTAGCGTAACGCCGGGAAAAACGGTAAATAAAATTCCCCGGGAATGGAAATCAATTGCATTTTTTATATAAATTTTTTGGAGAAATCGCGTACAACTGAAAACTGCTAGATATGTTAAACTCAGTCCCAATGTAAAGGATGTTGTAATCTAAACAAGCGATCCATTCGGCTTACTTTGAGACAAATCTTACTGTACTAGATGAGCGTTCTTTTTCCCGCCGGATTCTCTGATAGAGATGATAAATTTAACAGAGAGTAAGATTTCCCACCAAGGAAATCAGCATGTTTTTCTATTATTTTTTAGAGAGCGACGCTGTTGCAAACATTCTGATAAGGACAACACACACAATGCGGTCTGCGTTATTATCAGTATGCATAATCGAAATACTGTGTAAACCTGTGACATCTGACTGTCATATATGCAGAACTCCTTTGAATCAGACCATTGTAAGTGTTGTGTTTTAGGTTCTATATGTTTTGCAGGAAGTTGCTGAGCGTGTAATGCATGTGAATTCAGAATTCTTATCGGTCGGAAGTTTACGCATCACTCCATACTACACTCTGGCCTTCGAGAACGCTGCTCAGAGTGCGGCTCTAAAAGTAAGTTTAATGACGCTCATCCTTTGGTGTGAAGAAATGTGGCCAAAATGTTCTTGTTTTTGCTACAGCATAATGTTCTGAACTTTAAGTCTAAATGGTGTTAGTAGAGAATAACCCTTCAGCAGACCAACACAACTTACTTAACTAAAATCTAGCTTAAAAAACGGATTGCATCACTGTTGGTGAAGCAAATGTGAACCATCAATTCTTCAATGTTTTTCCTTCACCTTTTGTAATGAATGACTGAATGGTACGCCTTTAATTATGGTACAACAAGTGTTATTAATCGGTACCTTTTGTATATTCCACTCTCGCGATAATGATCCTGTGAAACTTTTTCGGTGCATGTTTCCGTGCGCACGTTTGGTCACTGCCACTGTCAGTAAAAAAACGAACAACAGAAATGAACATATGCTTGCGTGCTGAAAACATTTCGGTGGCCTTCCGCTCACAGCCTCACCTAGACATTTTGTAAGGAATCTGGAAACAACAGCCTTTCTGACGCTTGGTTCCTACGATTACCCCCTAACTACCTCCGACTTGTTTTACTCCTAAGACAATCGTCATCCAGAAAACTGTCCTCTCAAAGTTACCTTTAGTGGTACTTTTAGCTCGTAGACCCACGGCCAAATACTCACTTTCCACTAGATCTGCAACGCTGCAGTTATTGAAGTGCGATATTTCTATATGGCTAGCTGAATCTACAATTAAAGCGTTTTTTGCACCGACAACAAAATGTTACTGCAATTAAAGACCTTGCCGAGGTAACAGATCAACTGTTTGATTTTAGTTCGTCTCGCCTAGTGCACTCAATTAAAAGTGAAACAACAACTGCCCAAACCCTTACGCACCACAACTTCTATTGCGACTCTCACTGATTGGTGCTCACATGGTCAGGCAATAACGTCATTTGTATTGTTTATGGTGTAAATGGTTTCCCCAGTGAGAAGTCACCTGATTCTAACTTATTTGATCGGCCGGGGTGAAAATGCAACCAGACAGACCAGTTTTTCGTCTCAGTAACGAAGCTTAGTAGAAGTGCCCCAAACTTTGGGCACTACAACATTTTGGGCTTTTGTTGAAAGTCTTGTCTGGTAGTTTGTAAGTGCGGTGATCAGCTTATGAAGATTTTCGAATAACTTCACATTTATCCATTCTACATTCACGTGTGACACTTCGAATTTCGGTTTTTTAAGATTGGCGATGCCTGAATGGCATTTATACACTGATAGGATTGATTATGGACTAGAGATAACTGTACCAATAGCTGGTATCGGCGTGAAGGTATATTTAACAACGTCTAAGGCTAGACTCAGGGAGTATCCCAAGACTTTATCCTGAAATGCGATGCCTGAATGGCATTTATACACTGGTAGGATTGATTATGGACTAGAGATAACTGCACCAATGGTATCGGCATGAAGGTATATTTAAGAACGTCTAAGGCTAGACGCAGGGAGTATCCCAAGACTTTATCCTGAAACTAACTAAAACGACACAGCCCACACTTCCCGCAATATCACTCAATCCAACGTTCACTACCCCCTGGTTTGCGTGACTCTGTAGTACCTAGTAGGGCAAATTCATCGATAACCATAGCAGTTTTATAATTTGGATAAACCCGTATGGCTTTGTGCGGATGAACATAAAACTCGTTCGGACAATTGACGAGATCACCCTTAGGCGATGTGGGTTCGTTGTTTTGGCACTTCATAAATTCACAATATGTTGGATATAGCTGGCGTAACTCAAGTACTCTCTCCAATTCAAAATAAATTTGACTAAGCAGCTGGTCCTATTCCTCGGAGGATAAATTTTGAATTTATATCGCCCCCGTCTGAGTGGCTCTCCTTTTGTCCTGGTGTGAATGTTTTTTGTACATACCGAAGTAAGGAAGCACTGGATTTGTGTCCCTCGTATTACAATCCATCAGTGGTGCACATCCCCGGGCGTGTTGAGATTTCACCGCTGAACACGACAGAAGAGCGTGTTTCCACTAATACATCGAATCACACTGGGTGCACCTGGATGATCGCTCTTGACGGGCTCACGTAGTTATATTTGGGCGATGGGATTCGTGTGTTCAGTGGTTCCTGAATTCAAAAGTGGGTGATGTTAAAGCCAGACTAGCATCCTTAATCATTCATTATATTAAATAAAGTGTTCCTAAAAGGATTAAGACGGGAGGTGAAGCTTAAGTTGGAACAAACCATCGGTAAACTTTATTTTGCATCTGAAATTAAGAGAGGTTGCGTTTAAAAGGAATGCTGTTTTTTTACATGCAGGTAAATAAGGGCAGCATGTCTCTAACACCGTAAATATGCATGTGCGTAGCAGTGACAATAAATATAAAATTGAAGTTTGCAACTATCGTTCTTTCACCAAGTGATCTAGACGGCAGGTTTCTTTCTGAAAAGATCTACATTATTTTCGGAACTATCGCAACCCAGTTTGTCATGTGAGATTTAGTCTTAGCTTTGACCAACCTGTTCGAATACACGATAATCTAATATAGAGGAAACCTTCCTTGTTTGTTGATAACAGCATCCAAGTAAGCACGATTTGGGAGGCCTCGCCGCTAATTCTAGCACAAAATTCAAATATATGGCTGATTGCAATCCCTGACAAAAAGATGAAGACGTATCTCGTATACCCCAGGATCTTTAAACTAGGAAACCGCGTGCGTAGCTGGTTCTACAAACCCAGTTTGAAGTTTTACGTACTCAATTAGTTTGTTATTTAGATGTCGCTTCCTGCTGTGCTGTGTCCATACGGACTGTCAGAATTAGAGACAACCATCCGAAATGTTTACTTTTAGTGAATATTTATGACACGCATTCACGGAGTGGAGACATTGAACAGCCAAGAGCAGGCGTATGCCCGAATAGATAGGTGGGACTGCACTGATTATACTACTAAAGATATTGTTGTACCTCAGAAGAGCTAGTTGGAATAACGGCTCACTTTGATACCATGGTAAGTAGTGCTAGAAAACACGCACAACGCAGTTGTTTTCTGTCCGAATCCTTTGGGAATTTGGTCTGAGCACACAAGTATATCCGTATGATCTGCGAGAAACCTAAATCCAAAGATAAGGATTACCCCCTAGAGACGTAAAGCTTTGAAATCATCCCTTGGGTCTTTTTTGTTCGAATGGCTGTGGGCTGGATTCGTTTAGAGAAGGATACAAAACTTACTTTTCACGGTGTTCCTTCTCGATCAAACCTATATTTGTCTATTCCTACACCCTATCCAAGACACAATTCGTTGAACCCGCTATCGCCTACTGGTCGAAGGCATTGGAGGCAAAATCTCCGATAAGCGATGTGCTCAGTTTCGCTCGGTAAGTCGTTTTAGGTTGCGCTGAAAACACTCCACCCAACTTCAGTGCCTTTGCAATATTAAAAGTTCACTTCCATCTTTCTTCAACAAACAGATGGTTTGAATACATCAACTCCTTACCAAATGTCTAATTAATAACAAGATAGAATAATTTGGGTCCATGTAACTTCAAATCGGGACACTGCTTGGTGTGAAAATTTGTTTTTGACAAGGGGTGGCCTTTCAGACAATACGATTTGTCGTATTTTTTATGGAAGACCGGGCAAGTTCACATCTATTGGCAAAGACTTCAACAAGATTCTAAGGGAACAGTTTTGAACAGCCAATTCGTACACGTTGTTTTGTCTTTGCTTAAGCTATTGTTGGAGGGTAAACTCTCTTTCAAGCTCAAGTTACTGGTATTTTGTAGCTCACTTTGGTGAGACTCAGCAGATTAATCACTTGTATTATATCTTCAAAGATTTATGCCAGTGTTTTTTTAATTAGTGTAGGCGTATGCTGAGTATAGTCTTTCTGTGAACAATGGAGCACAGTCAGTACTTGGGAATGGATCGAAATTCTCAGCGCAGAAACATATCAGGTTAAGACGGTTGGGACGTTAATTCTACATGCCAAAACCTCGTCTACTAAAGAAGTAGGTTTTTACTCACAACCCTCGTCTCAAAATTTTCGTATGGAACGGTACATAAGACGACGACGAAGAAGCGGCCATTAATCTGATTATTTGGAGCTTCTCTCCATCCTGTGTAGGGCTCACAAAATTAGCCTTAGATGCGGTCCAACCCTCTAGAAGGTGACACGTAACCGATAACACTGACGAATCTGCTATTGCTTCCCAGCAGGACTGTCTAATTGGAGTTTGTTTGTCACGTTGCCCTTGATTTGTGTCCGCAGAACTCGATGCGGCCGATGACACTTCACTCAGATCAGGTGTGTTTAAGTTGATACCGTTTGAAGACGCAGACAACCTGTTCCTGATATTTCCCCTCAAGGACGCTAAGTTTTTTCCAAACAAGGCGGTCACTCTTCTTCATACATGTTAGGCTTCACATCCTTCATGTAATGTTGATCTTATTCTTACATGCATGCAAACCACCATTTATTATGACGTACAAATGATTGAGAATGTTGTAAAATTGCCAACTATGGCATTGTTTTAGTCGAAGAGCCGAAGGAATAGTATTTAGAAGGTAAAATTCGGGTTAATGTATTCCTTTACAGTAAAGGTGAGCCTAAGTTCTTTTAAGATGAGATAGTTGATTCGAATTTGTTCAGAATTTGTGTGTTTGAAAATAACAACTACGTTGGCTTGCATGCCAAACTCAGGTCATTGGAAACTATTTTTTAGCCTAAAAAACGTATTTTTATGGTTCTGCACGTTATACGACTCATCATCTTCCTTTCAAAGTAAAATCTCTCATCGTGAGAAGAAACAAGGTGGGACTCGACCTCATTGGAAAGAGAAAATAGTTTTTAAATCTGGCGCAAAGTGCTTATTGAAGACTCCCCCCACAGAGCGGTCTTTCTTTTGAAAGGTTTGTTAGGGGATCGCTATATTTTCGGATTTGACTTGGCGATCCATAAGGTTTAGTCCACTATTGGTTAAGCTGTTGGGAGAAAAAGCTGAAATTCCATCACACAGTCTATTCTCTAATGCGATAATCACAGTTTCTAGCAGTCATCAGCCTTGATCAAAGTTATCCGCGGCGTTTATCAGCGGTACTACTTTTAATTGCAACCACGAGCTGAGTGCTCGATTCATTTGGGTATTGCTCTAGTGTATGGTGCATTTTTTTAAATTATAAATTGGCAACATTTTATGACAGTAGCTGGGAAAAAATCACTCCTTCTGCAAGACACTATATGTGATTCTACAAAACTCAGGATGTCTCACATTATCGTAAGCTCATCATTAGCACACTTGTTGACTGTAACCACGTTGGTTTGCGATGACTGAAGTCCAGCATGTGCCAGATACCGGTTTCTAATCGAGGACTTTGCAACTGACCTCGAGGTCATTACTAATTAGCATTCCACTTTATTTATCTTTTTGAAACAGCTAATTAGTTAGTTCAAGTGATGTTTTAAGCTTTGCTAAAAGAGCGAATTATTTGACAGCATAACACTTGCATTCACCTGCACGATTTGTTTGTCTGTCACGATAAGAAGACACTATCCAGCAGACACCATGTTCTACGCTGCTTCAAGAAATGCACTGAGAAAAGAGTTGCACTTTTGGTTCGTTGCTTAAAAGCACTACACAGTGTAAACAGACCGTTAAGGGGCAATGAGAAACACCAGAGTCACGGTTATCTCCACTGCTTTAGCCAACAATCCACTGCTCGAAGGAAATTACACATTCAAACAGTGATCTGAATGATATTTGCTGTTTTCCAGACAGGTAAGCAAATTGTACATCTTTGGCTTAGGGGGCAGGGGTCCAACCAAACTGCTTTTGAGAATATTCCACCCAATGAACTGGAGGATTATCTTATTTCCTGTTTTATTTTCGATTAACTCACGGGAGGCTTTTCTTGCGAATCAGCTGGAACAGTCTCCGTTCATTTCCAGCCGCACTGGTCTGTTTCACTTCTTAAGTTTTTCTATGCTACCACGCCTCTTTGTCCACACAATGTTACGTTTAAGCTGTAATCTAATCGGTCTTCTAGCCAAATTGTACTCCAAACCAGAAGGTATAGGGCGCTTTAATCAAGACTGATCGTTCTGAGATCCAGTAAAATTCTTGCACCCGCTGGAAAGCTCCACAGGTGGACGTCCCGGCGTCACATATAGCTGTGGTTATCTCACCCTGGTTATGGTCATTGTCCCCCTGGAAGGTTGCTTGCAATGCATGGCATAGTAGGTTTTGTTACGTATTCCTGATTTATGACCTTTTGCTACTGAAATGGGAGATCTTTTCTGGGGGTTTTCCGCCGAAAGTTAATGAGAACCAACACCGAAAAAGAGCGTGTTTGGAATTAACGTTTGTACTCCGAAATAATCAAAATCAGGGATTGAACCAAGCCGTCGTTAGTTGACGTTGATGTGGTCCATTTGACTCCGATACCGCTCAGCGTTAGAGGAATATCAAATAAAAGAACGATGTCTACTGCTTCTTAACCAAGTACTGTTGAAAAACAAGTGGTGTTGAGTACAAAGTTGACAAAAACATTATCACTTTCACTGCGTTTGGTTTTCAGTCTAAACGAAACAACGCGGTGTTTCTGGACTTAGGCACCCTACCTGTGCATTGAAATGCTCTGCTACAATGACTATTTCCGAGCCATTTGTGGTGGACGAGCAAGTGCGAAGTTCTCTGTTGAAGGTGTATTTCAATGAGGCGGAGCTACAGTTCGTTAGCGCAATGATTGACACGACAGAGAAAGTGTTTAGTATTTCACCTAGTACACATTTTAATCAGAGTAGAAAGCGGGACAGCATAAAGTTGGCTATTACAGGTATTCATTTGAATAATGAAGCCTCAGTTTGTGATCTTGGGGCTATACCAACACTGGTGTGACACACGGTATCAACTCCTATACACTTCAAAATCAGTAATTTGTAGCGTCTGAATAGGGAGGGTGCCGTAAGCTCAACAACTGTGCTTGGATCCTGTATTCGGTTTTTTGACATGCAGCGTGTGCTAGTCGACACAGTATCTAGAGTGCAGCTTTGCGGTCAATCTGCCTAAGAACCATTATCCTGAAGGCTGCAAAAAAATGGAGAAGAGGACCTGGATAGTGCATACGGTGCATACCGCAGACCTGAGCGGTAGCGTGCAGTTGGTCATATGAATAACGTAACTACAGTTGGGATCTACACAATAGTGGTTGTAAAGTAGGACAGAACAAGGCCTATTTTCGCTTATCCGCCCTCATGTGTGCTGCAAGTATGACTGTGGTTGATTTTACACGACGGCTAGTCTGACAGGAAAGCATTTTTAACCGTATGAATCATGACTGTACGGCTAGTCGACAGGAAAGCATTTTTAACCGTATGAATCATGACTGTACGTGGGGTGGTATATTACCAGGGCACCAAAAAACAAACACAATGATTAGCCTTCAGACTAAAAGGAGTTGGCTAACGACCTGAAACTGCTTAATTAGCAAGGTATTACGGAACAAATTACCACAATTATTCCAGAACTCAACCTAGTGAGTCAAAGGACGGTGTTTGACGCAATTCTGTCTGCCGACCGACCTTGATGAAGCATATGCATCCTCCACTACATCTCAGTGTGTTACTGAGTTACAAAAACCACCACGATGAGGTTCTGTCTCATCTTGACTGACTAACAGATCTTACATGTGGTGGAAGTTATTTCAGTTGTGATTGATCTCCACTAAACGCACGTCTACTCATGGTCAACCGTTTCGGTATTTTATAGAATCATTTAGAAAATAACCTGACTGTGCTAACTGGAAATAATCTGCAGTTGCAATAAGACACCCTAGGTGTGAATTTTCTCTTTTTAAACGGGCTATGAGCAAGCACTGCAATTGACTGAACCTGAACTTCCCAACTGCACCGACCATGGTAGACACCTTCACTGTACCCATATAATCGTTTGATTGGCAGTTTGTGTAGTGCGCAACGCAATTCTTGGCGTCGTATCTTTATTGTATTGTTGAAGTTTCTCGCAACTCCTATGTGCGGGCGTAACTGAAACCTTGAATCGGTCATTAACTTGGCCTGTCTTACCGTAACTAATAAACTGGATCCCAAAATGCTCAGTTATTGTAAATTAGCTCATTTGAAATGACATTTGGATTCATTTTTATGTTATTCTGTGGGACTGAGCTGAACTATGGTGCTCTGATCTTAACACTATCCGAGGGGTGCCGCATCGAAACAGCCGTCCAAAATCATTTACGGGAACGACAACTGTTATGCCGCGGACAGAGAAACAGCCTCGTTGAAAGCATGCACTGCTGATTATCCCTGATAGGATTGAGATTTGCTTAGAATGCCTTCGTGCTTTGCGGGTTAGCCATGTCTGGAGGCCAAGAAGACTGTCGAGCTATCATCAAAAAGAGTAGAAATTCCATAGTTATTCACAACGAATTAAAGTCTGTCCTTCGAGTTTTAAGTGACAGTGGCAATGGAAAGCTGACTGGTGGATAAATCAAATAAAACTATCAGGACCTTGGACATTTTTTAAGGAATTCGAATGCCTTTCAACTGAAATTCCCAGTATCCTACTGGATCCTGTTTTGAGCCTGACTACTTTTATTTCTGCCTCCCGAAACTTCTGTCCCCTCCACTTTTCAGCCAATGTAATGGAGGCCTTTCGCGAAAAGCAGTTGACATTGATGGGGTGGAACGCAGCTTTTGCACATATGGCTGCAAAGCACAAAGCATGTGCTATACTGAACCCATTCCTGATGAATACTTGGACGTAAGCCTTTTGTTTTTTGTCATTCGACACTTTTTACCTAACTTATTGATGTGACAAGAGGTGACAAAGTAAAGGATTTATCCTGAAGGAATTCCAAAATTCTGGCCACGACCATTGCATAAACCCAGTGTAAAAAAGTTGTGGTGCTTTTAATTAATGCGCTTATCAGCCATCGATAACATGGAATTTTTTACGTAATTTCCATCCACTTGATGTTGTCTTACTTGTGTCCACTCAAAATACTTGCTCGTAATTCCACTTTGGCATGTACTCCATTCTACTGTCCGTATAGTAACAAACAGAATATGTCCAACCGAATTCTGGTAGCCCCGGAAATCGCGAACATACAAGTTTTGACCGATTTTAGGCGCCCAAGCAACGAACTGCAAGATACTATCGTGGTTTGGTTTAGAATAGGTTTCAGTTAGGCACTGAAGCATAACCTGAACTTTTGACTTGCCAACCCAGGTGTGATTTGTGTTTCTGTATTCCGATTGACAAGTAGCCCGTTGTACGATGCTCGACGCACCATAAGAAGGACTAAATGTAGGAGCTTTTGTTCGGTTTTGAACATTTGTCGTTCAACCGAAAACGATACTGGAAATGCAGCTCACACACAAATTACCATCAGACTTCAAAAAATATTGGTTTCCATTATGTGACTACCAATGTTTACGTAGTAAGTCAAACGACACACTGACAAACTATAGGGCCAACTTCTGTGTGCGCTGCTCCACGTGGTATCATTGTTTGATTATATGGCAGAACATTTATAATGGAAAATATCGATAGGTAGACTAGCTTGGTCGAGGCTGGCATTGCTCAGGCGTCACTGCGGTGAGCCAAATTGTGTAAACTGTTGACCGTTGTCATTGTGCACGTTTCTCTTGCAGCTTAAAGAATGGTACTATTGTGCAGTTGCTAAAATTCGAGCCTCTGTGAATTCATTTTACCACGTTCTTTACTTACTTATCCAATTACTTACTTCATCTACAGCAATGCCTAGAGATTATCAATGGTACTCCTCAGAGAACTGGCTACGCTGGAGCTGGGCTTCCGAACACGGATATGTTGATTTTGGTAGACGCCAGCGCGACCTCCACTTGCGACGGTGTAGTTCTGGCATATGCAACAACGTGTCAGCTGGAAGTCACACTAGATCGGTAAAGTTCGCACAGCTCAGAGCTAATTTGTATGACTTCACTTATGTGAAATTTGGTGTTCAAGAATGAAACAAAGTGGGTTGAAACTGAGGCACTATGCCTACCTGATGTATCCCAATAAGAGTGAAACTGCTTGGGGCTGTCATCGACTTTTCAAAAACCTTGTGAGTAGTATTAGGTCAAGAAAAACAATGAACCACATTCAGTGTTGTAAATAACCTTTCGCAATTCGGAAATAATATAGCTTTGGGCTGAGGTGTATGACATATAAAGAGGATGAAAGTGACTTCGTCGATGTGGGGCGCCCTTTCATCGGAATATGCAAGCATTAAAATCGCACTTCCATTTTCTGTCTCGGTATTTTAGCCAAACGGTATATTAGCCGCAAAACGGAGGTCTTGATAAACCATCCGTTTTTTGCATGATACTCCAAGAAAGCACAGTCAAACTGCTAGATCAACGTGGTCGTTCCTTTCAGGGAACTCCATAATTGGTGTTTATTAGAAGAATAAGTCCTTAATGCAATTCTGACGTCACTTGCTGCAAGTCAGGCTCGTATGTTGCTAAGTTAGTATTCTCCTCGGTAGCAAATTGCTCTCAGAACATACAGAAGATATAATCAATGGTCTCCCTGAGCGCACGAATTCAGCACTCACAGATCAAGTCTCAAGAGGGTTTGGTTGACGATTGGCATTGGAAACACCTGCTGGTTTAACATAGAACTCAGTTCAAAGTCAGTGTCTCGTAAGTACAACATTAATTGAGATCAACTAGGGCTCACCAGTAAGTAACGACCACCTAATAACATCCTAAGCGCGAGAACAGTTGGGTTCCAGGTGAGTACCCTGTCAAAACCAAAGGGATATGCAAATGAGTGCGACTGACGAAATCTGTCCTATTCGGGTTCAAGTTGAAAAAAGGTTGACGGAAACTCGAGCACTGCGCCTACCTGGTGAGTCCCAAGAAGGGCGAAACTGGTCGCAAACTGTCGAAGAGTTTTCAAAAACCTTCTGAGAAGTGTATTAGGTCTATCCATGTATCGCGAAATCCCGAATATCGTACCAACCGAAATATGAGGCGACTTGGTGCAGCACATGCAGTTGTTTGAAAGCATCATAAACGAGAGATTCGGCTGGGTTCCAGATGACTTTCTCGTGAAAGCCAAATTGATGTGTAAATGAGCGTATATATCGAAGACTGCGGGTATGCATTTTGGTTCCTACATGGGGGACAGATGAATTAGGGAACTCAGTTATCAATGAGCCGCCACCTCCATTCCGCGCTGTTTTAGGTTACATCTCATTTCATCAAGGGCGCTAGGACGGTCCTTTTTAGATGACCATATATATATATATATTTATATATGTTTGGGAGTCCGCCGGGTAAGCTGTCTGCACAGAGACATGGATAATAATTATGCATGTGGCACAGTGAACTCCTTACTCCATAGCTGATTAATACAGTGAACTCCTTACTCCGTAGCTGATTGATCTTGGTGGTGCAGTCCTTACACCGCTAAACAAGCCGCTCTTCTTACCAACTTCACACACTGCCAATCTTTCTGACCCTTTCCGCGTTATTAGGAATTTCATTACAGTTATAAAACCTAGTCGTTCCAATGCTGCTTCACAAATGAGCGCGTTCAAAGTCAACAGGAAATTGCTCCTAGCTCCTTGAATCTTCTATAAATTGGTGGCTTCTAAAATTCGCATTTTTAAGGACAGACCAACANTGCCAATCTTTCTGACCCTTTCCGCGTTATTAGGAATTTCATTACAGTTATAAAACCTAGTCGTTCCAATGCTGCTTCACAAATGAGCGCGTTCAAAGTCAACAGGAAACTGCTCCTACCTCCTTGAATCTTCTATAAATTGGTGGCTTCTAAAATGCGAATTTTTAAGGACAGACCAACAACCTGCTTTGAAAAAGATTTTAGCATGTCTAGACATCGATTTGCGGTTTCCATACAAGACTCAACTCCAAGACTCACCTGCCTCGATTAGGATAACCCATTCTACAGGTGTTGGAAACTACGACCGTACGGAGATGGCCGCGTAGCAATGGCATGCAAGGCCTTCGTGAAAAGTGCGTTGGGTATGACAGCATAATCCGTTCTATTCGACTAGTTTCCGTTTGACTGCGAACTTTCCACCATATGGCTGGATTTTACGTTTCCGTTTGAATTACTCCAAGTAGATGGATTCAGACTGCAGACGATGTCGGCTTTTGCCAACAATTACAAAATCTTTTGATAAAGATGTGTAGTTCTAAACTTTTTTGGCTGGATACATAAAAGCTTGTGTCAGCAAGCTTGATTATAGGAAATGACAGCGATAATTTCATGAGTTCATCACTCAAGGACAAGGATGTAGACAATCGTCCGCTTCTCTTCAGAGGCAGCTTTACCGAAGATAATCAGTTACTTGGCCAACTAATGCTCCCTAACTAAAAATGGAAAGGTCATATGTGAAGGTGTGTTCAAAACTGCTGATAATATGGATGCCAGTCATGTGATTGTGTGCTCAAAATTGCTTCTGCGTTGTGGTTGCTTCCATGATGTCAGTTAGCTCGTGCACGTGCTTTATTTCTTGTCAAGGCTGACTTGCCAGGGCTTATTTGAACTCCGAGCACTACTTCGTACCGCGGAGAGCGGTAGAGACATCTAAAAGAAGAACGAGTATGTGATCTTTATGAGCGCATCTGTGGTCCTAGAAATCCGTCAATGCACTCAAGACAATACCATCCGCAAAATGCTCGGGAAGGAGTCTGAAAGCAGCATAATGGAAGATGAATACATGTTATTAACCTCTCGTGCCACGAGATTGAAGCTGGCCTATACGTCAAGCAACTTTTGAAGATCGTTTCCACTTATTTGAGATTTTCTTTCAAGGAAAGCAGCTAGCTGAGAAGACATAAAGAAGAAACATACCTATCATAACAGTCCTGGAGAGTTTGATTTAGCCTCCCATGAAACATGAGTGCGACACATACCATATATTCTGTAGCCCATGAGTCTGGAATTTTCAGCTTTGGCTAAGCTCGTCGGCTTGAAAGACAGGAAAGCCGGTGGTGGGATTTGATAAGTCACGCCAGTTTTTTAACGAAGGATAAAACTCATGAAGAAAACTGCTTAAAAGGTTACTGAAAACTTTTTGACAGTCCACGACCTTTTTCGCCCTCCTTGATGCTCATCAGGTAGGCGCAGTCCCCGAGTTTTTGTGAATTTTATTTTTCACTTGAAACCGAATTGGACAGATTCCGTCAAATATATTGATTGCATATATCGATTGCATATCGATTGGGTTTTTACGGTCGACTCAACTGAATCTCTCATCTATGATATTCTGTCTAGTTGTCGAAAGGATGAAACTCCTGCGATCACTCAACTGCTCCGGTTATCCTGGGTTGAAGTTTGCAGCTCGGTTGATTCAGCGCCATTCAACATGACGGTACAATTTAAACCACGATTTAGTTTTGTTACAGGTGACCATCAAAATTTTGACATACCTGGAAAGTCGCTTTCAACACAAACTTATTGGTAAGAAAATGTTTCCATGTCATCGAAATCTCAATTAGAAGATTGTAGATTTGAAAGAACACGATCATAAACATCAAGTGACGTCTTCTATCAAATGCTCTTACTGACTTTCTGCGCCAGATAGAAGACACTTCAGGATAACAATGCGGGTCAATCACACTCTTTGTTCGGCACTTTTCAGCTCAGATTAATTAGAGTTTGCACACAGCGCGCCCATCTGTCTCTCTTTTCAATGTCAATCCGTGATATTCCAAATCGATGCACTGTAACCACCGGGTTGCTTGTCCGATTGACATTGACGTCATCCAGAACGCTGCATTATCCAGCTCTTCAGCTTTGGATGTCGTTTAGGAAACCGGCCGAACTGCAGCCTCATCGCTGAAGAAGGCAGCATCCTTACTTCATCTGTGGATTCGTCCCCATCGTTGGATGTTACTAATGAGCAAATGGAAATCCACTTTGAACGTCATATCCATTCCAATAAAGGCGTTAACCTTAGAACTTCAGAAGTTGGACCTTGTGGGTGGTTTACCCAAACCAGGTGCATCAATGTAGATGTACCACCAACCACGTCCAGTTCAACTTGCCGTGATCACGTTGCTAACCCTTTTCCAATGCTCCTCCGCCCAAGGTTAGCCACTCAACTACAGTTTGAGTGCATTATGAGGCACTCGAACGCAATCGTTTTCCTGGCCCCTTTTATCTGTTTTAAAGCGCTGCCGTCTAGATTTCCTGCCGGGGGGCGGGGTTATACCGGCTTTTTACATTATAGCTACTACTGAACCTGAGCAAAAACGGATACATTGATTGCTCTACTTACTGCATGCCAGTACCACTAGACCACGGTTTTTGCGAACCTACCCTCACTTGGGTGACATTCTTGAACTACACATAGCGGTTCTTTCTTGCGCGATGGAGATAGGTGTGAAGGTTGTGTATGGCAGCAACACACGTAGATGTGTCACAATCTCCCTAAAATAGGTGCACGACCCGCTCGGCGTCCTCAAGATTCCAAAGAGTTTGACAGGAAATTACCTCCAATTTGGCGGATGACTCATCCGCATGACGGTCCTGCCAGAACAGCCAGGCCCCCGTTAGTCCATAGCATGCTTAGAGTATGTGCACTTTTGGGGAGGGGATTGGTGCATTTGTTTATCATGGTAACCAAAACGCGTATTCCGTCTGATCTTACCTATCTTGTTGCGCGATAAAGATCTGGACGTTGGTTTTGTGAAAGTGCTGTATTATAGAAGCTTTGTTGGCCTAACCGAACAATAAATGGAGTATATAGGTTTTCTAAGTTATTTTTCGTAATTTCAGGCCAGTTTTGGGCTACATCAATTTGTGTCCATCATCCATCGGGTTCAACTATCCGGACATCAAAATTGTGTATTCTGCCATTCTTCATGAATTAGGACATGCTTTGGTGAGTTTCACACTCCTCCAAACATATGCCCTTGAAACCAGTCGTTCAGTGTTTGTTTTGCGAGTAACACAGGAGATCGCACTTCTGCACAGCAGTAATCCGGATGAACAGTCGTTGACGGGGAACAGCTCGGTTTCGATTTTGCCCTTAGTTACCCTGATTCTTAATACACCTCACTTGCAGAACAAAATTTAATTGATAGTGCCGAATAATTCTTCAGTTGTCAAGCAGAGCATTGGTTTGCTGACGATGCATAGCTATAAATTCGAATCGTCCACAGGCTCAATTGACTGAGGCGCTCTGTTGTAACGTAAGAATTGTATCCTCCGTTTCCAATCGGTTTCCTTACTTCGACTTCATGTCCAATGAATGTGACGCAGTTTCATAGACTCTTTTGCAAGTTCATAAGTCTGACTTTCCACAAGTCTTGGAAATCATCACGAGGGATGCTCTTACTAAATACGAAAACCACTGCCACACTAGACGCACGCATTCTTGACCGAAAGGATTGTTACTTTTGAAAACAAATGATAAAATTATTGCGCTTTTCACCCGCAGATTACCCTTGTTTACGAAGCAAGGTGGAAACACAAACCGAAATAATGTGGCGACAAAATGATGCCATAAGATTCGCTTAGAAAAAAACACCAAAGCACAGAATCAGTGTTTGCATCATTAAAAATATGCATACATTGTTATAAGATATCCGACATATGAATAGACGTTTTATTCTCTGTCTGTACCTTTTTTTCTAAATCATGCGACAGATTTTCTCACTCCCGATAGTTTTTTGTTGAGTTCACTCCAGTTCTCTCATACTGAAGTGTATTGACAGTTTGTTTTTGGCATTACCGAGGTTTGTACTCCCCGGGTAAGCTTCGTGTTTTTCTGGAACGCGAACTTGCTCTCCTGCCCATGTGTGATAACTCAGGTAAAACCAATTGGTCACGGGGTAGCAATGTCAAATCGCCTGTCTAGCAAGTTTGGTGGCTGGGTTTCGGATCTTGCCACGTGCCGAGGACTATATTGTTTGAGCTGCAATAAGAGCGAAACTCGTGTCCAGCGTTTTCATTTGTGGTGCAGTTTGACGCGGGTAATCTCATAGAGACACAAAGAGGACTATCCAAACCTGATGCACTATTAATTGGACCCATTTTAATGCACTTGTATGAAGCATTAGTTCTGTTTTTTTGTTTTCTTTCTTCACTATGAGCAAAATTTGTCCGACGTGATTGCAGCAGCTTCGGTCCTTGTCTATGGGTTACTACTGCATAAATGAAGGTAAAAAATTCAACTTTAATGTATATGACGTGTGGCAATGTGTCGTAGCTAGTACAAAGACCTATACTGTCAATGGCTTCATTTGCTCATATCATGGTGTCGGACTAAGTAGTTAACTAAATTTCACGGTCATGCATATCCATCCGGCATTTTGGTCTGATTCTTCGTACTCCACTCTTGTGCAGACTTTATTCAAGTGTCCTTAAAATCCGTACATATTAGTTCGTGTAGAGTAAGTAGCTGCAATACATCATATGTGGCCGGATTTCACGTTTGCTCACACAGTTATTCCTACAAGAATTTCCACCATGGAAGTCGTCACCCGATTTCGAACAGCATCTTTATGACTAAAAAGTAGATCATGGAAAGACAGACGAAAACAGTATCCTTGTGATCTTGGCCTGTCAAATTTGATAAATACGGCCGGATTGTTTCGTCGGACCAGTTTTCTGGTCCATAGCAGAGCAGCCAGTTACTGTTGGATTGTTGAAATTCTAAGGTCCCCAAGACTGAACACTTCCCACAAATACCTGTAGGGATCCTGATCTGCCTTGTTTTGACCAGGAGTGGTGGTCTGACGGATCACTGAATTTTTAAAGATTTGACGGCGATAGATCTTCTCCTCCATAGTTCCAGATGTAAGTAAGCGATAAACCACCACATTGGACTTTTGACCGATTCGGTATGTCCGGTCATCTGCCTGAGTATCCGTAGCAGGGTTTCAACTAGGATCCAAAATTATGACACGACTGGCTGCAGTCAATGTAAGGCCAACTCCATCAACCTGCGTAGTGAGAAGTATTACAGTGTAAGAACAATTCCTTTCGAACAAACCTATGACATCTAATCGTTCTTCAACTTTTGTTAGGCGGCCATCCAAACGAAGCACTCTGTGTCCCCGGGAGTGAGAAGTGTTTTCGGGATGATGGTTCATAGAAAAGACAACTTTTTTCAGCCATGTCCTAGAACCGGATACTCTGAGAAAATATCAGCGTTTTTGGGACGGCCCCACTGCCAGGCTGTTTTTTGCGTAGGAACGAACTCGTCAACAAGCTAAGAAACATGAGCTTACCCGGTTCGTGGACGAGGTATGAGGCCGGAGGCAAACGGTTTCTTTGAAAGTGGCCTGTCCTGGAGAAACGATATAAAGAGGTTACCTATACGGTAAAAATGTGTACCTTCCGGGATAGTAATGTACACATGAGAGCGGACTACCTTTCACTGAGCAACTCATATTAATTAACAGTTTTATTTTTTGGGAATCGTTCAGAATCAAAACCGATGGATGAGTAATTGCTTCCCGAAGCCAGGTTGGGGTGATTTTATTCCAGGTTGGCCAAGAAATTTCGATGCGATGTTGATCGGGACGAACAAATTGAATTCTCTTACCCCGTGTTAAAAGCGAACTGGGCGACTGCTTTGTTATTTGGTTAGGAGCCTGGAATTTGAGTCATAATATCAGGCGATCGGGTCGTGCCACGTTTTTTGGAGGTTTCAACCAAGACCGTGCATGCAGTAAGTTGCTTTTCCACTCCCGTCAAGCTGTTGTTATCATATCTGCCATAAAAGTCTAGAAATTTTTGAATAATTAGTTAGAATACTAAGAAACATCCCCCCGATGCTAACCGTAGTGGACTAACCGGATCCAGGACTTACATCACTGCGAATGACTCTCATGAAAATGAGGTAGCTTCATAAACGTTGATTTATATACTCTGGTTCGCGACAAAGCCTGTTGACGTTCCCGAAGACTGTTATGCTCATCTGTGTTTCCCAGTGCCTTCTTACCTTACCCCTCTGTATTTATCGTTTCCTCTCACCCTCTCCACTTTCAGGGGTTCTCATCTTTGTTGTATGCATTTATGCGGGACACTGATGGAAACCCGAGAACTCCACGCGATCCAAACACAAATCTTCCGAACCTGGGACGAACAGACCATGGGACATTCAGAGCAGCGTACGTTGAAGCTCAGTTTTGGCTAGTAAAAGCAAGCTTCAGCCCGTTTAATTATTGTCTATCTTTCCTGACGCGAACGTACATCTACCTAGTAAAAACGACGAAAAGCACTGATTTGTATCAATCATCAAGTTGCAGAGATAGACTCATGTGTTGCAATCCACACTAGTGTTAAGCTTCTTCGGATTAGTCATTCGTATGCTGCATATCATGCTGGTGTTGAACTTTCTCGGATTGGTTGAGTTGCACCTGAAACTGTTTTGGCTCAACGCTGTGGAAATATTTCGATCCATTCACATAGGTTATCAATGCAGCTGCTTTTATTTAAGTCATTTCATACTTTGTTATTACCTTGTGATCGCCTCATGTAATTTTCTTTTACCCACTCTTAACCACTTTCTAATGGCCGTAGATGTGGTTGTAACATCGATAGCACAACATCAATGTTCGACAATGCTGCTTCGGGCGGCTTCAATTCTAAGACATTCTTTGATTGATGGCAAATTTTCCACGGTTGTTTGATTCCAATAGGGCCGCCGTTATTGCAAAAGCGCGCCAACTGACAATTTCGCACTTCTCATTGATTCACTCGTCGGGTTCAACCAAGCTGCAAATAAACAGTTCTGCAAAACTTGCTTAGTCATGATGGATGTGCTATTTGGTGCTTAAAATCCTTCAACTTAGGAACTGTGGCTGTTGAGCCGCAATGTTCTTCTTATGATACAGATTACAAAATGACAGGAATGTTAAGGACGTTGCACTTTTTTCTAAATTTTACTTTTATTTTGCTACTTCTGGACTTGTCTTCCCCGGTAGTTTCTCAAACCATATTTTGTCCGTTGCCTCATATGACGACTAGCTCGGCTGGGACTACAGACACGTTTAGGTCACATATATCATACATCTGTAATAAAGTTTAATGGTTAGCTATTCGTTCAGACCAGTGAATTCCATGTTTGTGTAACTGGTAGGAATCTTCAGTGCTTGGAATATGCCGGTCGGTTATTTGGGCAGTTATTCCGCAGCGAACAATTCTTTTCAGACTGTTTATTTTCTGCTTTCGTACAGTCGAACTGTGTCATGTAGGAGACACGCAAGAACGAGAGTGAATGACGCATTCAGTTACAAAAACGCTTACTATATAGACCTCTGAAGCCAAGAAGTTTCTGTCAGGTAAGTCTGACAAAATGGTACGCATAATGAATGTCACGTGGCTCGACTCCAGCCCTAGGCTGTTGGACCGCGGCCTTGCACATAGTCCCGACCGTGGCCAAGCCCAGGTAACAATAGACTTCAGACAACTGCCTTGATTACAAAGACCGACGTGGTACAAAGGAATGGTAATGACCACAGCCCTGCTTCACATCTCTCTTCTGTCTCAATTCCCGCTAGCCATATTCACAGTTGGACTGTTATGGATTCGTCCCAGAAGTGTTTACCTGCATCTTTTTCATTCTTTGAGAAAAATCATTGTCTCCCATGACATTATATCTTATCAAGGACAATAATTTTGTCACTGTTCTTTGCCACTTCAGTTCAAGTACCATAGACATTGTCAACCGAGAATGGAAAGCAGCGTTTGGTACGTTCAGTTTGTCAGTCTGGACACTGAAAACTCCTCACGTTTTGGTAAGTGCTTACCTACTTCTGTGTGAAGGAGTTGGCTGTGCCGTCGTGAATACTAGGCTAACTATTCCTTTACCCAAAAGCACCTACAAACCATTTGTTTTTCATGGTCTTCGTTATTGCTCCGTTGCTCAATTAACGTTTGTTGAAAGTACAGATCAATAATAAAGCTGACGTTCTCACGTTTAGCAACACTTTAAGTCGTTTAAGCTGATCAAATTTGGTTGACGTATATAGCGATATCTTGATGCAGATGGTTTACTATTCTCAGCAGAAGGAGTACTGAATTACGACAGCTTGGTGCCTACGTAATTAACTCATTCAGACGCCAACATAGAAGTAACTCACTGCACTAATCGATAGATTCAGTTCAAAGTGTCCCCGGAATACCGCAATTTACCATAATATCTATCAGGAGAATGTAGTTAAAATACTCGTCTATAGTAAACTAGACCCTGGGACTAAACACCAAATGCTAGAGGAACCTTCATGTCTTTATAAAATCACCGAAATTCAACGGAACAGTTTTGGCGAAAGCCCTCTGCTTCCACGGCCAGTGAACAAACCTCCCAAGAACAGGCACTTGAACTGACCAACAAAGGGTGTGGCAACGAAGAAGCCAGACAAACAAAAAGCGCAGTTTTTTCAAACTGAACGACACTGATCGCTTACACTGCACAACTTCACAGACCGATGCATTATGAAAGCTACTGACTGACTATCATAGAAGGCGATCGCTAATCCAATGTTCAATAGGAAATGGATATGTCTTCTTTTGTCAGTTGATGCAGAGGTTATTAGTAGCGGCATGTTCCACGGATGGTTCTGTCGTGCCATAACTGGCTGCCAGTACTATACGAAAGCGGAGGAAATGTTGATGCAAACTGCATTTGTGTGAGTTACAGTGGCGGAAATCTTCAAAGAAATCTTCGACTGATACGAGGTTATGAAACTCAAAGCTTGAATTGCTCTTTTGGCCCGGTTGCTTTCTCCCTCTCCCTCTCAAGTCCACGTGATTCTGACTCTGAATTATCCTTTGACATCTGTCTCACTCTCTCTGTTGTTTCTGATTATTTGAAACACGACCACTTTTTGACAGGAAATACCGAAAATCCTCTTGTACCTTATTCAATGACGAACTACAAAGAACTCGTTTTTTTCAGACCGCTCCTGTAACGATAACCCTTTCCTCGGGAATTTTCTTGTTTGTTAGAAAGTTTATAACAGCGAAGAGCCACAATCCTACCTTTCAAGTGATTGCTAATGCGCACATTTTCCAGTATAATCCTCCAGTGCAAAGAACACCCTTACTGCGTGATCAGTAGTTGGTCTTCCATTTGTTTTATTTGCATCCACATCCGCCAGTGATGTGTAAAAAGCGAACTCTACGAACAGTATGATAAACAACTTGCAACTTCTCCTGGCAGTTATTGTTAGCAACCTCTGACCCACGCACTCAAGTCACACGGGGTAGGCTTTGAGACTGTCTGTCGTTGATCGACTGGCAGAAAAAAACACCGATCAGTGCACGTGCATCCATACAAACATCCTATGTCGGATTCGCACACCGAACTGNATATGTCTTCTTTTGTCAGTTGATGCAGAAGTTATTAATAGCGGCATGTTCCACGGGTGGTTCTGTCGTGCCCCAACTGGCTGCCAGTACTGTACGAAAGCGGAGGAAAAGTTGGTGCAAACTGCATTTGTGTGAGTTACAGTGGCGGAAATCTTCAAAGAAATCTTCGACTGATACGAGGTTATGAAACTCAAAGCTTGAATTGCTCTTTTGGCCCGGTTGCTTTCTCCCTCTCCCTCTCAAGTCCACGTGATTCTGACTCTGAATTATCCTTTGACATCTGTCTCACTCTCTCTGTTGTTTCTGATTATTTGAAACACGACCACTTTTTGACAGGAAATACCGAAAATCCTCTTGTACCTTATTCAATGACGAACTACAAAGAACTCGTTTTTTTCAGACCGCTCCTGTAACGATAACCCTTTCCTCGGGAATTTTCTTGTTTGTTAGAAAGTTTATAACAGCGAAGAGCCACAATCCTACCTTTCAAGTGATTGCTAATGCGCACATTTTCCAGTATAATCCTCCAGTGCAAAGAACACCCTTACTGCGTGATCAGTAGTTGGTCTTCCATTTGTTTTATTTGCATCCACATCCGCCAGTGATGTGTAAAAAGCGAACTCTACGAACAGTATGATAAACAACTTGCAACTTCTCCTGGCAGTTATTGTTAGCAACCCCCGACCCACGCACTCAAGTCATACGGGGTAAGCTTTGAGACTGTCTGTCGCTGAGCGACTGGCAGAAAAAACACCGATCAGTGCACGTGCAGCCATACAAACATCCTATGTCGGATTCGCACACCGAACTGGGCCAACACTCGTTTCGTCTTTGCGGAACAACCAAACCCGTATCAGGTTAGCTTCACGCTTAGCTTACCACAGTGCCCGTCTTTGTATGATGGCGCTATCTGTTGAAATTTGGAAAATAATCCCCTAACCGCAACTGTGATGAATTTTCCAACACCTGGTCAGAGGTGTGGTGCATATGTCAGTGTTTTCCATGACACTTGTGTTTTCCGACACCCCAAGTGAATGAAAAAGCAAACCCGATTGCTGGTTATCACAAGTCTGATATGACACTTTGAAGCAAACAAAGATAATATAAATGTAAGCCAAACCAGACGTTCAAAGCTCTTTGATATCCTCTTTTGTAAACAATATAAGCATAAAAGGTGTGTATTGCGTCATCAGGACTAAATGAATCCCCTGACCAGTTTCCAAGCATGACGAAACCGTAAACTTTTTTGCACGCTGAAGTTCAATGCAGGGAAGGGAGCTCCTGAAGACACGATACTCTACAGCGAATCCAATCCAAACTCACACACCAATACATGCGAAGGACCGGTGGCCCAACTGTAATGTTCCGATGTACCCTAGTATCGGGTCAACGAACTAAGAAACAGGAATTCATTTGGAGGCACGTCAGCGAGGACCCGGGGGAGACAAAGTCCAGGCCCAATGGTCACGTGGATACCTACCGACCAGTACACCATTTGATGGACGAACCGAGAAAACCGCCCAGTCAAACAGCCAGTCACAGCCAACCAACCGCTCCTGACCAGTAGGCAACATATCAACACACACAAACCACCACTCAACGCACAACCACCTGTTCAGTCCGCCTGGCTGAGGAAGGTTTTCAACAAAACCAAAGCATCCTTCCGCCTTAAATCTCGATCAACCTCGGAACCTAGTCACTTGGCCTGACGAAGCTTTTGTGTCAAAAGCGAAACGTTGCCCAGCAATAAATCTACCGATTGTCACCAAACTTTTTCAAAAACAGTAGCAATGAGTTCTTTAGCTTAATCATCACGCAAATTAGCATGCCCTGGCCAGGGAGTATGTATACATGCACGTATTAAATCAGAAACGAAGTACACTGACAGCATATAGTCGGGCGCAAGGTTGTAGTGCCTGTGTGCGGAGGCATAGTGCATATTGAGTCATTGCGTTATATGTGCTTGAGAGTCCACATAGTAACATAAACTGCAGTGTAGTTTGTCGAACTTAATGCTTTGCACTACAGTTTATTCACCATCCTCTTTCGTCTTGGATAGTTGCATTTAGTGCACTGAGCGCATTCATCAAGTTTTCGTGTCAATTTTACTGTGAAGTGATTGCACTGTCATAGTTAAAAGAACTTGACCTTATGAGGGAGATTTTTTAAAATGAACATGCACTTGGAAGGCAAAAATGTTCGCGGTGTTTTCGTGCAAAGAACATATCCATATTAGGGATGTTCGATGCTCTACCTCATTTAAAATAGTGGCAGTTTTCACAGATATTTAAATTGGTCTTTGAAAAATTCCTCATGCTCGTTGATCCATATTTTAATGCAGTCAGAAATTATTGTTGATGGACAACAAACCATAGATATTAGGCTCCTGGAATGTTTGAACAAACATTACTGTATGAATTTTCACAGTCGGTCTCCTGAGTTCCGTTACGATGCCATAATGTTCAACAGGTTAGCTAATCAATTGTGGATAGATGCATGAGATCGAAAGGTTCATACTTTGAAAAAGTATACATTTTACCTGCCCGGGATCAGCGGCATTTTTAGGAATTGTGTGCAGTGTAATTAACTAAAATGTTCCTTACAAAAACCGGGTCTTTATGCGTAACAACTTTTCAAAGGCTTATCCATCTCTAAAACTTTAGCTAAACTGGTAATGTTATTAACCTAGGATATTTAACTTCCGTTTGTCCTCTTGTTTGATGAAAGCTGATATGTTTCCCCTAATCCACCATAGGGATACGCCAGAACCCATTTTGATTGCCCCACTCTTGACGGAGTGGATCTGGAAAACGAGGGAGGGTCAGGTACTGCAATTTCACATTTTGAAAAACGCATTGGGAACGTAAGTCTTTCTATTTTCTCCATACTTTGATACACTAAGCAATGGTTTGCACTATAACGAACGTTACTTGTTCTCCTCCAGTAGCTTTGAGTGTGTTCGAGAACAAGGATGAGGTAAAATGTTTGAATCTTCTATCAGCAGTTATAGACTGTCTAAACCAGCACAGTCATACAGAATATTCACCATCTGAATTTTCTGCACCGTGCCATTCCAAACGCCCCGCCAAGGTAATATACGTTTACTTTCGTAAGACTGTGGTTTTGTGACTTCATGTGTACCATTCAAGATTCCTCCTTGTCAATGAAGCCGATCGATGTCAAAATACCTCGAAGCAGTGCACATCTCCATCGTCCTTGTTTAGATCGTCATGAACCCCTTGCAGAATTTGAACTCATGACCCTATGGTCAGTAGCTGTACACTGTAGCAATGACCACGATGAGTTAATCAGCAGTTTAGTATCTTCCATTTAAACAGGATACAGCACAACCGTCGTTTTACATAACGTGATCCGGCGTTGACTGGCTTTTGTAGTAGGCAGTGCCCCATTGGAAGACCCACGTAACTTGTGGGTTGTTTCTCCGTCGGTGCAGACTAGTCATAGATGGTGAGACTTCGTTTGGTTGCATGGAGTAATGTATTATATCCATCGCGTAACCGTAACTCCCAGGAGGTTGTCAGAGTTTGCCATACTGTCTTGGGTTGCACTCTTGATAAGTCTGAACTAGTCGGGGCCTCCTCGAGTTACCAGAATGCCGACCCTCGTTATGACGTGAGTGACGAAGTTCAGTGTCCTGTTCTCAGACTGTTTGTTCTCAAATAACAGTAATGTTTAAAAATTCACCGCCCGTACTCCCCTGAAATAAGTGAGTTTGCCTGGCAACCTGTCTGACCGTTGGCAAATTACTAACCCATGCTATTTTGCTTCAGTCTTTCCTACATTCGGATACTTTGATTTCGTTGACTTTTCGGACTACCGCTGCCGGTCATAGAGGCTGATGACAGCGCCATTGCTGATATTTATTAGTTTTTGGTTTCACGCCGCAGGCCTTAGACGGTCTTGATAAACCACATGTTCACCTCAAAAGTACCTTGTTATAAAAACACCAGTAACCCATAATTCATGAGACATCTGCGGGAATGCTTTATCCTAAGCTAACGTCACACAGCATTGGGTAGCTCTGAAAAATGTTTCTAGCCACACCGCTTTTGATAACCCACTGATGAAAGCTAAATTCACAGAACTTTCGGCAACACTTTGTAAGCTCTACGACTTGCAAAGTCGTCTCAGACATTTTAGTGTCTACATGCTACTTCAAAGTAGAAATGTAAATGGAAAAATTTCGCAAACGCGAACGTACTGGTGCTGACCACGTCAGCTGAGACAAACTTGAGTTCATTTTCCGCAATTTAAGACCACTACGCCTCGTGGATCAAAAAGCTTACTTGTTGGAAAACTATCAGTTGGCGTACATGACAGCATTGGTATCAACAGCTTGGCGACAATTCCGGTAGTAAACCATGCGATGTATTCCAATGTTGAACATAAAATGACTCACATGTTTGTAGTTTAAGACGACAAAAATCAAAAATAGATCAATTTTGATAATGGTAGTTTTCTGTCAACATTTTTGACTCATTTCAGAATGACCTGATGACGGGATCCATCGAACAATTGCTTGTACCGTCACCTTTAACACTGTCGTTCTTCCAAGACACCGGGTAAGTTCGGATAGGGTGTTGGAAGTATAAAGCTTACTTCATAGTTCACTATTTTAAGGATGCTACTTGCTCAGCTGCCAGATCGAACTGCGAACTTGAAACCGGGCGGGATGTTTCAAGGCCCATGTAGCATGTATTCAGCCTGGTTACATGATGTGTTTGATTACTGGACTCCTGTAAATCCTGTTCACTTTTGGGAGCACTTTGGGACATCTAAGAAAATCTGCCAGTTTCATTTGTTTAACAATTAGTAGTAACTGCCACACAGACAGCTTACACTAAGCATTCTATTCCAGTGCCAAACTGCATGGCGTTTTTTAAATTCTGATTCACCTGTGCCGAATATGAAAAGGCCGTAGAAGGAGGCTATTGGGACTGGAAACTGTATGAAGAAGTTTTGTCGCGATTGACATATTTATGAGTGCCATCAAATGTTCAGATCTTCTAAAAGAATTCTCGTTACTACAAAGTGTTTCCTGGCCCTAATGGAAAATTTGCATATATATATATATATATATAATAATGTATAAGTACTCGCTTTCGAAAAAGTTTGGTGACAATCGGTAGATATAATTACGGTTGCCTTACAGTTTTTTGGTTAGAAACATCTGGCAAAATGAATAAGCTTTTTCTGACAGATTTTTATCTCAATTAAAATACAGAATTAGTTGCACAAGCGGTACTTCACAGTTAAGATAGACCTATACCGTAGAACTGTAGAACTGCACATCCGGCACGAGTAAAAACTCTTACTGGGCAATATTGAAAGGGTCATTTGGTTAACCATAGAATCCGTAAATACCGCACGTTATTCACTCACCGAGTACACACGGGCAGTTGGTATCCGTTGCATTGATAGTCTGAATTGTGAGTGGAGTAGAACATTGCTTCCACTACTCGGGTTCGAACCCCACATGTGTGGATCCTTTTCTTCCATTCTTATTTTTTTCAACGTGATCCTCCGTTTTTTGTCTCAGTGTTGCGCCTATACCGCCTTCTTTGTTTTTTTTTAACTTACCTTGTCATCGCACGTACTGTTTAAATCAACATGTGGGTTTCGCTATCTTTTTGCCGGCTTGCCTCGAGTCAGCGTGACTTTGGGATTCTGTTAGAAATCAGCAGTTCCTAAACCGGTGTATAGAAGCCGGCGTAGTCTCATCATATGAGATTCATACAATTCTATTATTGTACTATTGTATTCGTAATAGCGCCTTTGCTAATGAACCTCCATTTGAACGATTTGACTTTTGGGGTTTTGCGCGTAACCGAACGTAGCCCAACTGATTGCTGGAAAAAATAAATAATATGGGCACTATGAAATTGGCTGCGACCCCCAACCTTGATATTATGTAAACCGGTTGTTTGATCAATAAATACTTAGAAATAATATTTTATTCCTCTTTGTCGCACTAGGACAAAATACTTGCCCGACCGTTAAGGACACTGGGATCGTTCGGATAAAGCTAGTGGTAGTGACAAAGCGCGTTCAGCTAGTATAAACTCGGGCCTTGATTACCCAAGCAGTGAAGTCCAGTATTTTCAGTGGCCACTATACTTAAAACAGTTGACAATCTGGAATCAGCCCTAATGTCTTAGAACCATCCTAAGATAGGCCAGTCGCGGTCGAATGCATTTGTGCATCCAAAAAAGCTGGTGAAAAGCGGCGAAAACTACTCCCCCCATACCGATGGACTGCTGGTTCTGGTCTACTAAACTGAATTTCGCATGAAGTCATCGTGCCTTTTCTTCTGGTCGGTTTCTAGCGATAAATCCGTGTGTTTTTGAGTAGAACTTGTACAGTGGTGTCTTTTCTTGCCGTGTCTGCTCCTCTAAGGCTCTGGCGAAAAAAGTTATGGGATCAACCGAAGTAGAACATAGCAGCCGAAACGTTGCAGACAATGTTAGCCATCACTAAAATACCGAAAGTTTATTTTGAATGCCAAATTTGATTGCAATCGTCGTGGTTAAATTAACTGAAAGACGTTGTCTCAGTTTATCAAAGACATTCGGTTTATTTCACTGATGGGGAATAATACAAAGATCTTAAGGCTTGTATTGGACGGCAGGCCTTCAGATGTAAATGAACCAGTCAGGACTGTGAATGCCACTTGTTTATGAGAACTAAATTCGTTTGTTCCTTCTGGCTCTGCCTGATTTTCTAAGGCCGCAGTTGAATCGGCTAATCAGCCACTAGTTGGAAGCTTATCAATAGATGCTTTTGAGTGTATATACTCTAGAAAATGTTGCTTTATAAATCTATGACACTGAGGAGGAGAAATCGTGGTCACGCAAACGCGCAGTTAGCGCAGTGATGTAACACCGTATTTGTTAGTTTGTAGTAACATTGATAATGTAATTATCACAGACAGAAAAACATGCAGAATAATCTGTTCCTTCTTATCAAGCCGATTTCCCAACAAAGAACGTAATATGCCTTCAGCAACTGTCATTTACATGAAAGGATGACTTCATGAAGTTTGGGTTCACAGCAACGTCACAGTATCATATAATATACATTTCATATGTATTATATATACACTATCTTGACCTAAGACCTCCACCTTGACGTGGTGATCGGGCTTGGGTGTTGCAGTGGTCCCACTGACACCGAGAGTCTTCATACTGTTCGTGAATACAATCTTCCTACAGACTTATTTGAATCGGATTCAAAAGAACCCTGCTCAAAAAACAGCAACCGAGATCCTTTCCCTCGGTCTCCAAGAGGCCCCTAAAATGTACCATGGACCTAAGGATTGTTGCTGTTGTTTGGTCTGGTTTCAATTTAACTATTTTTGTTATGTTCAGTTGTGTTCAAAAAATATATATGGATGGAATCCAACTTTATCAGTGTCTCCGTTTATTTTCTCCCAGATGGTATAATGTCGACATGTCCAGGGCAGCGGACTGGAAATGGGGTAAAGGTTTGGGCTGCACTTTTGTTCAGAAGAGTTGCTACGAGTTCATGGAATCTCGAACTAGGTAAGGCAATTTAATGTTATCACACCTAACTCGAGTCCTTGTACGCTCTCAGAATAGGTCAATGTATTGTTCACACAAACCGTACTTCAAGCCACTTTTGCCACTGTCACCAAAGCGCTTGATTTTTTTTTACAACGATTCTGTTTCAATTGATGTCCTTCCGAACTTCCGACCACCGCCCAACTACGTGACAGATCAACCCATATGAATACGGTTGCGGTAATCTTCTTAGTCTAGTGACTTTTTCTGGCATAAACACACCATAGCAAAAGAAATCAGCTGAAGACGTATTCTCATCAAAAGCATTAAGTTATGTAGATCAGACAGTGTGACCCCGGTCCTTCTGCCGGGTGGACAAGCCCGTTGGGCCATTGACGGTATAGTTGCCATGTGAAGTTCGATTGTTCACCATAGTGGTACTAGTAGTGGATATTCATCAGAACATAATGCAAGTAATGTCATTTGCTTTGATTAATCTCATACACCTGCAGAGAACAATCGATACGCCCCTGGTGTGCAGAACCACCAGCTGGACAAACCGAATGCCTGAGCTACGACAACGCATTTGGACAATGTGATTTGCGAATGCATTCGTCCATACTGGAAGCAGAGTACCAATATTTCCGTCAACTCCCGAACGTGCCCACAAGTATGGTGCCATACTATGGTGGCAAACATTCACTGATGGATCGGTGCCCCTTTATTCGGGTGAGAAACAGTTGTGCCTGGTATGAACTATACGTTCACTGTCGTATGGGCTAGTAATCCAAGTAGACCAAAATTGAGCGGCGTAACAACAAACGAGGTTTAGGCACAACAGAAAGGGATGTTTTTGGTAAGACCAATGCACTCATAAGCGAGTCTGCTCTCCCGTGGTATCCACAGGGGCATTCCACGTTTCTCATTAGGCAATCAACCACACATGATGTCAAAGTCCAGGGAGAGGCCAAATCATTTCAATTTAGAGTTCGCTCTGTGAATAGGGCTAATCTATCCGAATTAACACCAAGCAGCACTATACAGCTGTTTTGGTGTCATCGGAAATCACCAGCGGTGGGTATATCATAGAATTTTAGGGAATTGCAAACCTACAACCTCCCGACAAGTAGTTTGAAACACTCAACCACAAACGGTCAGTCAGCGTTACGATTAACTCGCGCCTAAACAGGGTATTGTGCCACTCATTGATGAGCCACACAATTCGACTCCAGTGTTGACTGGCTCCTTCAGTGATAACTCAAAAAAGGGTTGTATGGATTATTTTTCCTTCTGAGCTTCTTATATATTATAGGGCACGTTACTTGATAATCTCTCTTCTAGAGGCTGCTGCATTTGGTTTTGGTTGGTGTACACTCAAGCGGCTATTTGAAATAAGTGGCAACAATCCAGTACGAGACCGAATGAATGACGACGACGATAGAACATCCTGAAGAACTAGGTGATTCCGTGATTCTCCTTTTCGCTCATGAAATGGTTATTTTTACTTCCATACTTTGTGTGAGATTCACACTGAGGAAAGGCGCTTACTAATATTATTATGCCCTCAGTTGCTCGACACCTATTCAAGGTCCATTTGTGTAATTTTGTCGTCTTAACTAGATTTTCTAACTTATCACGTCGAGTAAGTTAATTTATCTCGAACACAATGAAACATCTTAGCCGAAATCGGCTCGAAGAGTGTTAGGAAGACTGAGCGCCATGTGGTGGTGTATTGTATGGAATTTTTATTATAAAGTTTAAAGGATTTCTACAATCCTTGAAAACCACGGCAACCGAAACGTCGGATTACAACAGCCTGTTTCACTACGGTGTGTTTCGACTTTATAATAAAAAATTCCATACAATAAAACATCCCCTACCAAACAATCTCCCGAAAGGGCAGTAGAGAGGCAGGGGTACATTCAGACGTGAGATCACCACAGTGCCATGCAATCCCACGTATGTCCCTGCTTGAAACTATTCTTCATGTATCTTAGACGTAGATGGAATACGAGGCCGAAGTTGTTCCAAGTAGATATTCGATGTTGTGCCTGACTACACAACGCTTGTAGTGTGAGGTTTCCTAGACAGAAGCATCACTGTTGCCTCAGAGGTGCCAGTCGATATGGAGGAGATTTACCCATCTATCTCTTAACGGGTTAGGAAAGATTAAAGGAATTCCAAAGGAATTTATCAACGCTGTTGCTTAATTATGTGCAGTTCAACTCCTACTAGAAAAGGAAACACTTCTTCTTGGGTAGGACCAAGAACCAAGGAAATACATGGTTTAAGTAGACAGATAGATAATTGGGGCACTTAAAGCAGGTGGACTCATGTGAGCAAAGGGGTCGTCCAAAGTACATTGGCATCCAACAGGGCTCTTTATGTTATGTCGACTATCTGTGAATCCGGCTTTCACGTTTGTTGGTTCAAACAGCATATTTCGCATTTCGTCGTGCTGATGTGTTGCTACTGTATGATTTCAGATAGAAAACGTATTCCAGGGAAATCCTAGACGATTGCCTGTAACCTTGCCTGAAACGACTGACTGAATCATACAGCGAATCTCCTTCGATATGTCCAAGGACCATAATCTGAGTGTGTGCGTCGGTACAGCATGATTACAACGGGCCTGCAGTAAATGTCACTTAAATTGTACAAATGAATATATGTACTAGTTCAATTCCCGGTCGGAAGGTATAACCAACTTTTTCATGCTAAAAGCAGTGTCTTTGTAACTTATGTGCATTTGTGGAGATTGCTGTGGAATTAAAGGGCAATGCGCTTATTAAAAGTGCCATAAACCACAAAACTCTCAGCTGATATGATGAGCTATGTGATCCGAATTAAGATCCGCCAGAGCCTCTTTGAATGGAAAGTGGAATTCTTAACTGCAACCCGAGTAGTCAAAATAAAATGACTGATGACATGACCTAGCCTAAACAAGTAGCATTTTTAATCCCATTAGGCAGCACCATAACAGAGGTTTCATGAATACCAAAACACTGCAAAAAGTTAATAGAGTACTCTGTGGGAATCGGCATTCTTGAACATCACTTCTCGCTTGAGGCCCAGAATATTTGGATACATAATAAAAATTCTAAACAAGTACTGTTCCTCAAACAGCATATTTTGACTACCAAAACTGCTTGTTGCCATTTAGCCTTGGTTTGGAAACGGTAGCGAGTCGTCATCGTATTGTGATGTCACTACAAACCAAATATTTTTCCGTGAGTTTTGAAGGCTTACATTTAAATGGTGAGATCAACTGACTAAAGACGACATAGACGTCATTTATTTAAATTATTTGTGTATAGTGCTATCCAGGACTTTTTTTACGGTGCATTCTTTTTTATGATAACGACTGTCTTTTGGTGAATTTTATTTTGGGGAGGAATGTACACTCCGTGATGCCGAGGAGAACTTGACTTTTGGTGATGAATTCAGTTTCGTAAAATCTTGTGATGTACCAACTTCTACGAAGAACGAATTGTTGCCAAATACAAGTTCCTTAAAAAGCTAAGCAGTATCGATGATCAGTGAGATCAAGCGATGGCTTTTGAGACATCAAACCATACGAAGCTACCTCACCTACATGCTGGACGGAATTTTGTGGCAGCAAGTTTAACCGGGTAATTCGAGGTCAAGGAATTTCGAGATTCTATTGTACCTGGTTCATCACACGTCGTGAGAACTAGGTTAGTTACGATGCTGAGCTACAAGTAGTGCTGAATTATCCAACTGTTTCGAAAGGTTAAGCAGCTCGAATGGCCAGGGATCTGATGCATACAGCTCACTCGTCTCAGTGGTTGGCCTTGCTCGTTATAGACTATGCTGTATTTTGACTTTGAACGGTCCATGTCACAAAGCTCGTTGTCTGATAAAACACCAGCTGTGTTGAACTTGGGATTCCAAGTCTTTAAGAATAATTAGATGTAAACAATCGTCCTTTTACCTAATGTGGACTATTTTACACTGCGCTTCAAGCTGAAATCAGGAAAATTTCGCGGCAACACTAAAGCTTAATAAGCAGTATGTCTTGCACCATCGAGTTTCTGCGCCGGTGGGCGCCCTTTAGTGGGTTCATCAAGGGACTGCAGCGTCGACTGGAATGATATCTTCACAAAGTCGACACCAGATGCCGAATATGACACTACTCACTAGATCACACTAAAAATTGCGAGTTCCGGAAGAATTCGAATCTATCGTTACTCAGTCTGTCATTCCTGGATGTAATGCTGGTCCATCTGAATGATTTTGGCGAAACGCAACAAGGCCGACTTGGAAGTTGGTGTATTCAGATATGAAATAGGTTGGCTGTGCATGATTCATTAACAGAAGAATGGCGTGGCAGACTAAAGGCGCATAATGGCTAAGCTAAACAGTGACAAGTTTCGCATGGGTGAGGCGTTAGGTAAATGAATAAACGGACACACAAATCCACAGATGGGTGCGCGTGAAGACAAATTTTATGGCCTGCAACAAGTCACACGACTGATCGGATCATGTGACTCTTGGCTGCAGGCAGAGAACAACTGTACAGGACTCCCTTCTCCAAATTACAACATTTCATCAGGTAGGCTTTCTGACCTTTCGGGGGTGATGTTAAGGACACCGCATCAGTGTTGAAGATCATGAAGACTGTAAAAGAATTGGAAGAGCTTCCAGAGACTATTTATTAAAAAAATACTCAGTAACTTTCCAATGAGTTTGATTTCTGGTGTAAATATAGTGCAACTCATGCCGGATATCTTTAGTTTGAAATATAAGTTTGGTGGTCACTTCAAGGCAAACTGCTTGAGTTTCTTGGTGGACTGGTTAATGTCTGTGAACGTCTTTTGTAATTTCTTGCCTGTTTCGATATCGCTTTCTAAAGTAACTTATCGAAATCTCACTCCTAGGTTTGAACAACTGTACGTTCGCAACCGATATTTTTCAACAGCTCAGCGAGACTTTCTCTATAAATGAACCACGGCGATACAAAAGATGCCCGTGAAATCTACTCTGACATGGAGTCCTCCTAGGTTTGAACAACTGTACGTTCGCAGCCGATATTTTTCAACAGCTCAACGAGACTTTCTCTGCAAATGAGCCACGGCGATAAAATAGATGCCCGTGAAATCTACTCTGACATGAAGTTTACTATGTATATTTTCCTCAGACAATTGAGTACTCGCACTTTTCAACACAAGCTAGTCAAGGAAACCTGTCTGTCCACAATGAATTGGCGCGTAACTCAGGAATTGTTGACGAAGCGAAGTCAACATCATCATGTCGACGGGCGTGAGAAAAGTACCGCACATGTCCAATCGCCGTCTAGAAAGGTTGTAGTTTTGAATCAGTTGGAAAATGTTTGGAAAGCATCCTGCCAGTCCCCAGATCGAGTGTCAGGCTATTGTTTACACCGTTATGCATTGAGCCTATGTTCAGGACGATACAAAAATTCTGGGTCCGCAGACAGAGCCCTGTCTCGAGATAATGTTCAGCTTTTATCGTTTCAATGCCGTCTGAATCTGTGGGCATCTTATTCTTGAACGTATTTTCCAAGTATACTAGGCTACGTTCCAAGTCGTCTACTTTCTTTTCACTTGCCGTTATTCTATGGCAATTTTGCACCAGTGCTGATGTAGTGCAATCAGTGGTGGTTCTGTCATTCTGACTTACAAGATATCGCTCACGAAAACCTATAAGCTGTACATACTGTAATGTGGTTACTAGTGTTCAAATCAAGCAGCCAACAGGAAACTCAAGCGAGATGTTGTAATATGTTTCAGACTTTTCATTCAGTTCAAGTGATAAAGTTCTTGGATTCATTGTCAGCTTATTATCGAATTAGGTCATGTCGTTGGCTTGTTCGCTTAGCTGGGCAATTCGATTGCGTCATTGTGGAGCTCCCCAATAACGCACCGATGATGTCACCTCGATTGGTGATGAAATGTTTGCAATCGAATTGCCCAGCCCAACGAACAAGCCAACGACCATTTACGCTACCTGAGCTACCGACATTTTCTCTATAGAAAGTTAGGTCATGTTTTGGCTTTGCGCCTTTGTGGCTTAAATTTCCTTCTCAAATCACTTTTCTGTCCTCACGATACGCGGTTTTCGGCTATTTTTTTCGTCTCATGGGGCTCACGATTAGTCTCCTGAATTAGTGTCAACATGCGCGGAATCAAATCGTGGATTAATAGATTCACTGAGTAGTGATGAGAAATCACACAGAAATATAGTAAGGAACGTCTTCTGTGGGCCCTCCCGTGGAGTGAAATTCATTCAGAGGTCGCTCTTAGGAAGACTACCATTTACAACCTGAATCTGTTCATCAGTTGCCACTCGGACCACAACCCCGAGAAGACAGGTCACCAAGTTTCCTTGACCGAACCTCTCTGTTGAATGACCCTAGAAAGTCACCATTGTCAGTGTCATAAAATGCTAATGTTTCTACTAAAGTACAGTCGGCACACATGGTGAAATGTCGAAAGGCCCTTAGGGATTAACATTCAGTAATCCCATATTTGTTGAAGTATGTACATGGATATAATGATTCGCACTCGTAAAGTGAACTCTGCTAAAAGAATGTTTCACCAGTAAGTGGTACCGGTGGAATTTGGAGTAGCTCAACGAGTAAGTGTATGATTCTTACTACTCGTCTCTAGGTTTCGGCCATGGGAATCTATTAGTCCTCGGACTACATGACAGCTACGCACCAAAATAGTACCACATTTGAACGACAAGTAGTTGCTAAGATGGCGACTGCTCAACTTATAAAATCGCGGAGGATTTCATCTAAGAGGCTTTTCTTCGCAAATCCACATTGATAGTGTCAATTTTGGACGATGCGCTTTAAGGGAATAAATGTTTTCTCCAGCCAACGCCAAGCCACAAATTATGGCCAGTCATTTCGGTCAGTTTCTCAGGTCAAAAATTTCTCTTCGTTTTTACTCCAGCATATTATGTTCGTACATTTCCCACTTTTCCATGTCGGGACATCTAAGCACTTCTTGTGTGCTCTCTTGTTGAATGTTTTAACACTTCCCGATGAGCGCCCCATGACATCCTGATAAAAATCCAAAGACAACTCGAAGGGAAGTCAGAATGTCCTCGGACGAGGTGTACAGCGCTTCATGTTTCAAATCACAATTATAGGGCACCGTCGCTTCATTTTCAGAGGTCTTCAGGTCTCCCTCACGACTTAATTTAACGATAATCCTCAGAATAGGTCACTAACACACCAAACAACTGGACGCCACAGCAGGAAAAAGCGTAGGAGTTCAGCTTCTTAAACTTTTAAGCTCCAGAACTAACCGAATGGCGTCCAAACTTTTTAATCATGACCACAATTCCACACATGCACTTTATTTTCTGTTTTGTTTGATTTTTATGTTTAGACTTGAATGTAAACAAATCGCCGCCGGATTTCAATAGACTGACGTACCCTTACACTGTGAATCACTCAAATCTTATCCGTGCTTTTATGGAGTGTTACTTCCAAAAGGGAGTCACAATCCGAGGATACATAACTAGATATTAGGGGTTGTATAGCATGGCAATGAGTCTCTGCATTAACCTTTCAGAACTTAACAGGCCGGACACAAATATTGGGAGTGACGTCCTCCCATTTGGTAATTCGTCATAGTTTCAAAGCATTCTGAGAAGTTATCGCTTGCCGTGTGACTTGTTTTTAAGCTTCACAGCAGCGTGCGTTCTGGGTGGTGGTGGCGCCAACTAGTGCATACTATCCTTCTACTGTTTGAAGAATACGGCCAGTCGGTGATTCAGATTCTCCACCGGACTCGATGAAAAAAGAACGTCCCTGAAGAAAAGTATGAAAAGGATCGGAACACTAACGGCTCCGTCTAGCACAACCAGTTCACTAAATGTTCTCCGATGACACCGAAATCAGTCATTTTATGAGCATGAATCGTGGAAAATTCAGATTATCAGGTGATATCTGGTGTTATTTCGAAGTGCATATCGATGAAAGCAACCGGATAAAATGTAACTATTGCCATCGAAGCCTTAATAGCAGCCAACCAGATCGTTCTGATTGGTATTCCGCTAGCCCATACCTTACTAATGGTTAGTTTGGCCCATTTTCAGTCATTCGCATAACTTATAATGATTTGTGATTGGCCGTACGCCTTATTCCCATAGGTTGCATACGAAAGGAGCATTGAAAGGTTTTCACAGTTCAAGATATTAGTCTTCGATCGCAGTTGAGCAGAGTGTGCAATGCGGCTTAGGTCGAACGATCAAACATTGAATTTGTCATTGTCCTATTGGTGATTTTCGACCAGTTTTTTAACATAGTTTGTCAATGATCCCTGACTGGTGAGACAACAAAATGTGATTAGTCAACAAAGAAAGCAGTATGGATAATTTTCAACGCGTTTATCCTCACCAACTCGGAGTTGTTAAGGAGCGGACGTGTAAATATTCGTAGGTTCTCATCTTTGCCATTATGTTACTTGTCAAAATCTGTGTTATGAAAGATTACAGTTCCAACTTTGACTTGGCATTATGGTACTCCACAGCCTGGTATTTCCAAGGTGGCTGGAACACTGAAGTAAGTGTATCTTCGACTAACGGACCTCCTCTTCTCGGTCTGTGAGTACGGCAGAAAGATCTGACGATACCATTACGACTTTTTTTACAGTAAGCTTAGTGGATTGCGTGAGCGTGTTTAGCGTGCTTCATTCGTCCTACTTTGATGACAAGATCTGACGATACCATTACGACTTTTTTACAGTGAGCTTAGTGGATTAGAGCGTGTTAAACGTGCTTCATTCGTCCTACTTTGATAACCCGTGTTAATTTGTACATCCAACCGAAATCCTTTCATCAAAATTCTTCTTATTGAACTCAATCTATTTTACAGCGCCAAATACGAATAAGTGGTTGCAGTTTTATGGCGTAAACTCCTTCTGCCTGGACCACATCAATGAACCTTGGACATCAGCACAATGCTACACAAGCACTACTATGAAAAATCAAGTGGCTACATGTCACAAGGTAAATGAATCTACTAAACACGATTTTGGGATGCTGAACATTGAGATGTCATTGCTACCTAAGCTAATATTCAAAGTTGATGTCTAGTACAAACTGAACGTTCCACTGATTAGTCTGTCGAAACTGAATACCAGAGACCCAATATTCGAAAGCACGTGGGCTCGAAACATCAGGGATTTATGACAGATTCGCCGCCGATTATCTGCAATAAAGATTAGGTTGTGCTGTATTCCCCTAGACAGGATGAAATCCTTACAAAAAATACTGATCTAGACAGGGTAAAAGAGCGATATACCTAATCTATCGTTGACTGTTCGCATGCAATATAGCCTAAAGACTTAGTGCACTGCAATGGGAAACTCCAGTAGCAGCCTAAACATTGGAGTAACCAATCGCGCTAGATCAGGTTGCTGAGACCCAGTACGAGCCAAGTACCGATACATTGAAGCTCTGGTTAACCATTTGCTTTCGTATCTTACTGAGACGTAGATTCATTTACCCTCGGCTTAAGCTTTAGGTCCTTTGGCCATTGTACAAACGTTTCCCGAGTAATCTCATACGTTTAAAAATATCCGTATTTGTTTCAGTTCTCTTGCTCTTCCACCCTGGGCTTAATACTCACACTTGAAGGGAAATCGTTTCAATGCCCACTAGAAGGTGGTACGATTCAGATCGATACGGTGGGAACGTACTTCTACCTGACTGGCAAGGCGAACTGTCCGCCATGCTCAACCGCTTGCAACGTGAGTAACAAAAGACCATCTAAATGCATCCAGGTCACAATAATGCTTATGTCGGTGTTCAGTCAGCAATGTCCTCAAATTTGGAGTGTATGTTACTCAACCTGTAGGGCATCTAGTTTCACACTCTGTTTACACGTGAATGCAGGTTAAGGTGAGACCAACACACTGCGAAACCTATCTGTACAGACGATGCAGTCGATAACTTTGGCAAAATTGGGATTTAGGACAGAAGTGAAGCAAATTCCTTCTCGTTGGTGGATGGCTCTCTCCCACATTCCTGTCAGGAAAAATAGCTAGACTTGGTGTTCATCAAAACAATTATGAAATAAATAAATTCCGGATTTATTGATGTTCGCACTTTGATTCCTCTTGGAATCGACACAAGATGCACACGCAAACCACCGATTTTCGTCAACTACGTACGAGACTTTTGTATTCTAGCCCTACTTATAGGGACCATGGCTGGTTGGCAAAAGCATGACTGTTTTCAGTACGAATCCGGACATATCCCGTATAATCTTACTATAGGTGAACATTGTCCCCAATTTTATCCTAGTGTCACAGCCCACCCCCCAAGTTTACCCACCCATGGCGGTCGTATCCGTTTCATTTCTTTTGGAGTTTTAAAACTACAGGGTATCACGAAAAGTTCAAATTTCATTATTTCAGGTCATTCGTGAATTCGCTTCTTTTCCTGTGTTCAGCATCTAACAATGATCAATTTAGTGCGAAATGTCTCTCAGACGAGGAGCGAACTACGGTAGTCAGTGTTTAAACCGTTAGAACACCAATGCCTCAGACTAGCACTACATCAACTGACTATCTTTTGATGCAATGTTTGGTCCTTGGGGCCAATAACGGCGCGTTATTCCCATGTATTGATATCTACCTGATTCAAGTTGTTACGCTATAGATGCAAGTGAGCGTGCTCAATGGACCAGCAATGTTCTACATTGTTAGCATGCTGCAGCTGCTGATGTAGGTGCTGTTTTTTTTACTAGCGTTAATTGAGTAATCCTTTCTTCGTCTGCAGCTTCCTCGACTGCAGCAGCTGACCACGCCGTTTGTTTTGATTGCCATTGCCTGCGTTGTCGCTATTGTCGATTGCAAGCGTTTTGCTTTCGAAACGTTCAATTCAAATTCAATACAGGAATTTAGACTGGAGGAGACGGAGCACTAACTGACATTTCAAACGTTAATAGGTGTGTAATGGTAGCTGAACCACAAATCTCATTCACAAGGAAATCTGAAAGCGACTCGCCCGAGCTCTCGGACGAGTCACAGTCCTGCCAAGACCTATGAAGTTGTGAAAACGAGTAAATCTAACAACAAATTCGGGTTTTCCCTCCGGGAAATTCAGGGTCACATAGGGGTGAGTAAGCTTGCACTTTGAACGTTCAAAGTGTACACGGATAAAAGGAAGTAGCTTCGATGTCCTACTTAGAATAGTTCATGCGGACACACGATCATCATCCAGCTGTAACTTCCACACTCAGACTCGTGGCCCCTTGAAGAGCACACCCCAAGTCATCGAGCAGAACAAAGATGGGGAAACAGGACCTTGAGGAACCCTACTAGTTGTGGATAAACGTCTGGACAACAGTAAGTATCAGAATGAATAGTACGAAGAATAATAACTCTGAGGGCGCTCCTCGTTGATAAAATATGGGTGGAAGAGCCGAATTATCCACGGATTCCTTTGAAATCCAGGAAAGCTACTGCAGTTAGTCGGTGGTAGCGTTGTCCTAACGTCATACGAAGCTGCAGTTCATGTACTCTTTAGCTGGTCAAAATTCTGTCTGGCGAGTCTCAAATGACGCAATATTATTGAAGCTTGTTTCTGTGATTGAGGCAGCCGCATCGGAATAAAGATACAGCATCGGGACGCAATCTTGTTGTCAAGTTAATTTAAACAACTTGATCTAGGCAAAACGCAAAGATTGATCACAGTGTTTGTATAACACTGGTGGGAGTTCACCTGAACCTGCGGTACGATAGCGCTTCAAGACAGAAAAACATATTAGTACTCCATAAACTTTGGCGAGCCGAGCGAAAGACGTGAGTATGAGAACAGATGGCTACCTAAACTGTTACCAAAAATATTCACCGATGCAATCAAAACGTTGGTTCCTGTTGTACTCTATAGTTGATGGAGACACGTGTACATATTATATAAAGTGTCTTCATTTTCAGGGAAGAGTGGTGTCCTTGGTCAGCGGCACAGAAGTGCTGAGACTTATAACGGCAACAAGCTTCCTGGTTTGGATGCTAGCAGGTTACGTTCCATAAAGCCTCGTAATACAATACAAGTAGTCGGCCTTCTGTGACGGGTTAATAGGTGTGTAATGGTAGCTGAACCACAAATCTCATTCACAAGGAAATCTGAAAGCGACTCGCCCGAGCTCTCGGACGAGTCACAGTCCTGTCAAGACCTATGAAGTTGTGAAAACGAGTAAATCTAACAACAAATTCGGGTTTTCCCTCCGGGAAATTCAGGGTCACATAGGGGTGAGTAAGCTTGCACTTTGAACGTTCAAAGTGTACACGGATAAAAGGAAGTAGCTTCGATGTCCTACTTAGAATAGTTCATGCGGACACACGATCATCATCCAGCTGTAACTTCCACACTCAGACTCGTGGCCCCTTGAAGAGCACACCCCAAGTCATCGAGCAGAACAAAGATGGGGAAACAGGACCTTGAGGAACCCTACTAGTTGTGGATAAACGTCTGGACAACAGTAAGTATCAGAATGAATAGTACGAAGAATAATAACTCTGAGGGCGCTCCTCGTTGATAAAATATGGGTGGAAGAGCCGAATTATCCACGGATTCCTTTGAAATCCAGGAAAGCTACTGCAGTTAGTCGGTGGTAGCGTTGTCCTAACGTAATACGAAGCTGCAGTTCATGTACTCTTTAGCTGGTCAAAATTCTGTCTGGCGAGTCTCAAATGACGCAATTTTATTGAAGCTTGTTTCTGTGGTTGAGGCAGCCGCATCGGAATAAAGTTACAGCATCGGGACGTTCCATAAAGCTTCGTAATACAATACAAGTCGTCGACCTTCTGTGACGAAGGTGGGCGGGTAGACTGCAGTCAACCTGAGCTGTAATCGCTGTTACCGGCCTCATGGCCGTATCACCATGCACTGGAGTCATACTGACACGTGTCCGTTGGTATGTGTAGGAAGTTCTTTCCGGCTTCATTGTGAGCCGAAAAGAAACATCTAATAATGCTTCTTGTTTTCGAGTGAGATGTTTCTACCTATTGGCCCATTCTCGATACGGTATTACCTATAATGCTGACGAAAACTCTCGGATAAAAGTGTTCAACTAAACACGGCATTTCTTCTCTTCATAGCTTATAAGCATACTCATGCATACGGACTTTGAATGGGACCCTAGTTAATGATACCTGCAGTCGAATCTGCAACGCAAAGTTCATTACAGCTGATATTTAGCATAATGTAGTATATATTTCTATAAGCAACGTGTGAAGATTCATGAAAACCCGCACAGTGCATCATTGGTTTCGATATATCTGGATTTCATCTGGTAGACTTAACCCCAAAGTTTCACTCAACCTTTTTTTCGTTTTGCTGAACTTCAGGCTGCGCATTTATGGTATTAACAACTCATCGGCATAATCACAAAGTTCAGGGAGCTAAAATCACTTTTATTATCAAATGGGACCAACATACGGTTAATGACTAGGGAACTCTGTACAGCTCTTTCCTTTGGGTACACCATGCAGCAGGATAATTGGACTATTGATGGGACAATTGAAGACCGTTTCGGCAGTTAAATCTTTTCTGCGAATGGCCCTGCTCGTTCAGTCCCTTAAAATGGTCTCAACAGAGGACATTACATCCTCAGGACCTTCGTAATAACTCCGCCACCTGCGTGTGCGGCCCGTAACAGACTGAATCATCCGAAATAGTGTATTTGATGACAGTCAAACAGGGGCCGCATGTAAAGGTAAAAGTGACTGCCCACAAAAGAAAAGATTTTAAAAACTGTTGGGTGAAAACATGCACGAATTACAAGAGTCTGCTTAATAGTTTAGTTGCACCTTCAAATATGTTCAACTGAGTTTTCAAAAAGAAACAAGATCGATGGGATTTTGGCACTACGGTTATCTAATAAGCTACAAGGGAGGCCAAATCGGTTATGGATCAACGGTTAGTATTCAATCCCATAAAGTAGCACACTAAGCCAGAAGTTTGTCAGATGCTTAACTGTCATGATTTTTTGTCTAACAGGACTGTCCGGAAGCACAGGCGATTACCACCTCACCAGACGCAGCACCAGCCGAAATACCATGTGGATCAAGAACACTCCGATCGTCAGACGAATTTATTATCCATGCCGTAATCTCTGCTGCAGCTCTTACTGTCAGTGAATTTATTTGACCAACCACGTGCGATTTTCATAATGAAAGCGCTGACAGGGTATCAGAACGTTCAGACTAGTTAAAAATACCAAAAAGCGAGATTTGGTCGACAAGTCTTATTTCAGAAGGCGTTGCATCCATAAATGCAGTAAACTCCTTTGCCACAAGTAACTGTCTTTGTTTTATCCTGTAACCATTTCATGTATTGCATCATTCTCCAGTGAACATAAACCAACTTTGCCCTTGTGTCCTTGTTCTGAACTCAACTGGTTAAATGGCCTTTGAATGTTAGGAAATCAACCAATTTGCCACTCATGAAGTTTTGAAAGTACTGAAAGACTCCACTCAGCACACGGTAATTCACTTGTGCCAGCTAAAATCACGAGGCGTTAGAAAGGCGATTCATAGTGGCGTTAGGCATTAAGAGAGAGTGTGNGCGTTAGAAAGGCGATTCATAGTGGCGTTAGGCACTAAGAGAGAGTGTGTAAGAAGCCCACCCTGGGTTTAGAATCTCATCTCAACAGAGCTATCTGAAAGAGGTGTCCACGACTTAATTTGAACACTAAACAAACGGAGAGTAGTTATGAAAGCCTCATTGTCTCTTCTCTTCGTTGGGTACACAGCTTACCGGATCCATCTAATTTCCGCACTTGTCGTTTAAGTTCACGAATTGCAACACAGTTTTACTGTCTTGAATGCTCACGCTGTGTAGCAGGATCTATCGCATTCGTCCAAGCCTGATGCGAGGCACGTTCGCCCAGTTCCATGGCTCATCGTCGAACTTTAGTCTCATCACCTAAACTGACACGCATGCTATGCAGCGTCTTCAGCGGTTGAACTAATGAGGAAGCGACGATGAATGGCACTTTGGTCCTTCTCCTCAGTTTGTACTAGAAATGCCCTTCAGACACGCTCATACAGTAATTTTAACATAAAACTTCATTTTACCTGAAGTCAAAATTCTCGGTTAGATCCAAAGTCGTCATACCTAGGCTTGCAGAGTAATGCACACGAGCTACTTAAGACCAAAATTTCACCTTGTAAGCACAGTCCACTCAACCTCGCACATTAGCTGCCCACATTGATGTTGTGACTGGTATCACCTGAATTAAAAAAGACGACAGTTCTCGTCGTTCAGTAAAATTCTGCTAAACAGGCTGGCAAAAACTGATGGATTATTGGGGAGATTTTCAAAGATGTTAGTCGTACTACGGAACAGTTCGCTCACCACCCATAGATTAATAGAAAAATAACTTCGAATCAGCCGCATGTAGCCGAGCATGTACCAAGCAACTCGCCTCTTTTCTGTGGATTACGAGGTGGGTGCCTATGATGATTCACAAGAGCGGAGCAATTATCCACTGCTTCCACTTAAAGCACAAAAGAGAAATTTCAAAATCAGGTGAAAGCAACAATCGCTCGAACGAAAGCAGCACAAACGCAGTCGAAGCCGACAGACACGAAGCTGCCGAATGATTTCGCCACTCCATATATTAGTACCTTTGAGCACAAATCTAGCACTCCATACACCTGAAGTTGCAGCGGATACAGTGAAAGTACGCCAAATTGGGAAACAAATTTTGCTCTGGACATCTCTTAACTGGTCTTTCCAGCTCCCACTGAAGATTTGACACGCCGATTCTATTTGCACTGGAGTAGTGTAGGCTAAGAATGATGCGTTAAAAAAGGGACAAGGAACCTCCCCAACCTTGTCCGTTCTGCGTCCAATGGATAATCAGACCTGCGAAATTCATTATGTCCAGTGTTGCACTAGTTTGCCGTGCCGCGAAATGTTTACCCACCCATTCCCAGCTATTCCGTACCCTTCTATAGAGGGCATATTCATGGTTGTACGACTACGACCTATAAGCATATACTACAGATGTAGCCCTATCCATGATACCTTACCCCTTAGGAAACAAAGTCTTTAAATCAAATTGAACAGAAAAAGCACAACTGAGATTCACTGAGCAGGCGATATCTCCACACCTGTCTACAATAAAGGGAAAAGCTCCGAGCGACTGAGTGCACTGAAGAGAACACGAAGCCCCAACAATATGTGAATTTTGTTACATATGTACAAATTGCTCCTCTTATGTATAATCATATATCGATCCTTCCTGTGATGGTTGAAACCTGTGCTGCTTCAAACGGCGGATAGTACAGTATGTTCAGATGAACCGCNCGCGGTTGGTTGTTCTGAAGAAGCTCCATCAGATTTGTGCCCTGAATCCAACAATTCCTTTACGAACCAGGGAAATGTTGGCGGTCCGTAAAATATGAATGTATGAGCTCCGCGAATTTTTCGTCTGAAAGGAAAGGGGAAGAGTGAGGAAGTGATTGAAACATGTTTAGTGTCAGGGCCAGGATTCTTTCAGAACCGCCAAAAAGACCAAAGTAAAACTGATCTGTTAGAATACGTTTCGCAAAGGATACACAGAAAACCTTCAGGACATCCAGTTTCTTCAAAAATGGCCCCGGCACATGACCTACTTCTAAAAAGCAAAACTTGGCGACACAGTTAAATAAGCAGCCAGTGTTCCCGTTCAGCNAGGTGGGCGGGTAGACTGCAGTCAACCTGAGCTGTAATCGCTGCTACCAGCCTCATCGCCGTATCACCATGCACTGGAGTCATACTGACACGTGTCCGTTGGTATGTGTACGAAGTTCTTTCCGGCTTCATTGTGAGCCGAAAAGAAACATCTAATAATGCTTCTTGTTTTCGAGTGAGATATTTCTACCTCTTGGCCCATTCTCGATACGGTATTACCTATAATGCTGACGAAAACTCTCGGATAAAAGTGCTCACCTAAACACGGCATTTCTTCTATTCATAGCTTATAAACATACTCATGCATACGGACTTTGAATGGGACCCTAGTTAATGATACCTGCAGTCGAATCTGCAACGCAAAGTTCATTACAGCTGATATTTAGCATAATGTAGTATATATTTCTATAAGCAACGTGTGAAGATTCATGAAAACCCGCACAGTGCATCATTGGTTTCGATATATCTGGATTTCATCTGGTAGACTTAACCCCAAAGTTTCACTCAACCTTTTTTTCGTTTTGCTGAACTTCAGACTGCGCATTTATGGTATTAACAACTCATCGGCATAATCACAAAGTTCAGGGAGCTAAAATCACTTTTATTATCAAATGGGACCAACATACGGTTAATGACTAGGGAACTCTGTACAGCTCTTTCCTTTGGGTACACCATGCAGCAGGATAATTGGACTATTGATGGGACAATTGAAGACCGTTTCGGCAGTTAAATCTTTTCTGCGAATGGCCCTGCTCGTTCAGTCCCTTAAAATGGTCTCAACAGAGGACATTACATCCTCAGGACCTTCGTAATAACTCCGCCACCTGCGTGTGCGGCCCGTAACAGACTGAATCATCCGAAATAGTGTATTTGATGACAGTCAAACAGGGGCCGCATGTAAAGGTAAAAGTGACTGCCCACAAAAGAAAAGATTTTAAAAACTGTTAGATGAAAACATACACGAATTACAAGAGTCCGCTTAATAGTTTAGTTGCACCTTCAAATATGTTCAACTGAGTTTTCAAAAAGAAACAAGATCGATGGGATTTTGGCACTACGGTTATCTAATAAGCTACAAGGGAGGCCAAATCGGTTATGGATCAACGGTTAGTATTCAATCCCATAAAGTAGCACACTAAGCCAGAAGTTTGTCAGGTGCTTAACTGTCCTGATTTTTTGCCTAACAGGACTGTCCGGAAGCACAGGAGATTACCAGCTCACCAGACGCAGCACCAGCCGAAATACCATGTGGATCAAGAACACTCCGATCGTCAGACGAATTTATTATCCATGCCGTAATCTCTGCTGCAGTTCTTACTGTCAGTGAATTTATTTGACCGACCACGTGCGATTTTCATAATGAAAGCGCTGACGACAGGGTACCAGAACGTTCAGACTAGTTAAAAATACCAAAAAGCGGGATTTGGTCGAAAATTCTTATTTCAGAAGGCTTTGCATCCATAAATGCAGTAAACTCCTTGCCACAAGTAACTGTCTTTGTTTTATCCTGTAACCATTTCATGTATTGCATCATTCTCCAGTGAACATAAACCAACTTTGCCCTTGTGTGCTTGTTCTGAACTCAACTGGTTAAATGGCCTTTGAATGTTAGGAAATCAACCAATTTGCCACTCATGAAGTTTTGAAAGTACGTGAAAGACTCA